AAGGAGCTTTTCCCATCAGAAGGCTGCACGTGGTAACAGAAGGGCCAGGGTCACTGGGGGAGTTCAGCAGAGACACCAAAGAAGTAAGTTCCAGCCTCCTCTGGTTTGGTGGTGTCCTGAAAGGGCACCAGCACAGGGCTCGGGGGGCAGATCCTGCTACTGGGGAGCATGGCAAAATGAGAGAGACAGGCCTACACGGCTCTGGCACAGTGACTGGTCTCTGAACTCAAGTAAGTGCTGGCCGTGTGAGGCCTGGCATGCTGATATGCCCCTTTGGTGTGTGAGAGGCCCCTGGGCTGGTTACCAACCCCACTCCAACTGAGCAGATCTCAAATGTTAGACCCATGTGGGGGACAAAATTGTTCTGGGTAAGCAAGTGAAGTCTTAAGAAACCCAGCTTATCAGATCTTGGGTAAGGCTTCAGTGTGGGAGTACGACATGCGCAGAGCTGCTGTGCCCTCTCCCCAGACCACGGCTTGCATGCCGATGGAGTTCCAAGACTGCAGTGACCGAACTCTGTGGAACAAGGCCAAGGGGACCCTGGCCAGGTCCAGCCAGATAGAGGAGGCCGAACAGTACTCTCGGACAATTCAGATGTCCTTATGCCGAGGTGCCAAGAGGGCAGGTAATCCCAGCACATACTCACACTGTCCTGGCCTATGTGCCAACCCTAGACACTGGGGGGGCCACCCTGAGAGTCCTCCCAAGAAGAAGTGTACCACTGTCAACCTCACACAGAAATCTGAAACCAAAGACCCTCCTGTCACCCCCATGCAAAAACTTATCTCCCTGGTAAGGGAGTGGGACATGGTCAACTGTAAACAGTGGGAATTCCAGCCACTGCCAGCCCCCCGGAGCAGCTCCTTGGAGGAAGCCACCCTGCAGCACTCCTCAGGAAGTGAGGCTGTTTCCCAGCCCAGCAGCTCAGCTTCCTGGAAAGGCCATTCCACAGCCTCAGAGAAGGACCCAGGCCCACAGGCAGGGGCTGGAGCCGGAACCAAAGACAAGGGGCCAGAGCCAAACTTTAATCCATACTTCCCCATGAAAAGAGCTGTCGCCCTGAAGGACTGGGGCAAGCAGAGGTCAAAGGAGAGAGGTGAGTCCTGTCCCATCCTTAACCTAAGTCCCATTTACAACAGAGAAGGCAAACCTTGGCCAAGACCACAGAGTGAGTTAGTGATTAAAGGAGATTAGAACCGTGCATTCACTACTGCCAAGCAAAAGACCCAGAAATGACAGGCACGCTGGCATGGCCTGGGGGCTTGAGAAGCCACATGAGGCATATGAAAGGAAGGACCTATAAAGCAATAGGAGCACAAAGAAGGGTTTGGGGCTGAGGAGTCAGCGGAGGAAAGAAGTCTTGGGTGCTTGTAGAAACCTAAGTCACGGGTCTAGCAGCTGGAAACCAGTCTTCATAAAGTGATGAAAGATAAGGCTGAAGACATTAGGAATCAGGACAAGTCTTGTGGGTCAAGTTTAGGCCCTGGTACTTTGTTCCGATCCTAAGTGGAGCAGCCAGCCACTGAAGCATTCTATACAAGGGAGCAAGCACAACCAGGTATGCATTTAGAAAGTTTGTTCCAGGGGCAGAGGAAATGCAGTAGCAGGAGGTAAATGTTAGAAGTGCCAAGACCATCCTAGGTGAAACAGGTGAGGCAGTTGGAAGAAACAGGAAAGGATCAGGCCAAGGAAGGGACAGGTTTCTGATTTGGGTGACTGCAAGGGGGTGGACAGTCACTGAGGTGGGAAGGAGAGGAGTAGGGCTTGGGGAAGAGGACACAGGGTGTATGAAGCACTGATGGGCGTCCAAGGGGAGAAGTCCAGGAGACAGGAGGGTATATGGGGACCAGGCTGAACAGAGAGGAGTGTGTGTGGTGGAGAAGTGAGGAGCAGCCCAGGGAAGTGGGTTGAAAACTGCTATTATGGACTGTTTCCTCTGCTCTCTCAAAGCCCTTCCTACAATATTCTGTCATTTTCTCTTTCAATGGCTTGTGTCATGCTTGGAGGGGTGTTCCTGGGCCCTGCCTGTGAGCCCCCAGTTGGTCTGTCAAGCATGTTCTTCAGAGTAGACATGCATCAGCAACCCCCCTACCCCCGCCACTGCAAAAGCTCATCTCATAATTTTACAAAGATTTCCAGTCCCCTGCTGGGTTGTGATCAGCTCTATTTACTATACTAGCCTAGTTCAACAGATGATTTGGAAAGTTCCTTGGAGTTCTGAAATTGAAGATGTATGTTGCAGTGATTCCAGGGCGATGAAGAGAGGAGAGTTAGAACATGGCCCTGCCAGCCCAGGCTCCCGCTTCTGAGAAGCTGGAGGCGAGAGCTAGTGACTGACTGCACTGGTCTGTTGCCAGAGGTCTCCCTGCTTGGGCTCTGATGGAGCTTAAGGAGAGACCTCTCCCCATGTTGTTTTCACAGAAAGTCCTGCCCCTGAGTTGTCCCTGCCTGAGGCCAGTGAGGGGGACAACACAGGGGTCATCCTCAAGGTGACCCACCCCCCCGTGGTGGGCAGTGATGGCTCGTGCATGTTCTTTGAGGACAGCATCATCTACACCACGCACATGGACCACCTCAGGCGCACGCCGCCCCCAGCCAGCCCCCAGCCCCGAGGTGAGGCTCTGGAGCTGGGGCTGGCCCTGCCCATGGGCAGATGCCTGAGTCCCCAGCCAGGTACTTCAGGGATAGAGTCTCCCTGGAAGCCCTGAACTTCTCCCCCTAACCAAGGCTGGCTCTGAGGCCCTCGCCATGGCAGATGTGGCCACACCCCCACTCTCCTTCACAGAGGTGACTTTCCTGAGTTTCTCTCTGTCCTGGGAAGAGATGTTTTACGCACAGAAATGTCACTGCTTCCTGACTGACATCATTCTGGATTCCATCCGGCAAAATGACCCCAAAGCCATCACAGCCAAGGTGGTCTCCCTGGTCAACCGGCTGTGGGTATGTGTGATTGGCCCCAGGCCCTGTTCCTTCTCCACTGTCCCCTCACCTCCACAACAATAGTGCAAGACAAGGGGGAGCAGCCAAAATGGGATTGGGGGAGCAGCTAGGGGAAGAAGTGAGGGGTAGAAGGGTAGCAAGAAGGGTAGGGACCGGGAGACAGGACAGCAGCACCTGGGCCGAGCCATGGCCAAGAGGCAGTTTGAAGTGACGGTACCCCTCGACCTCTGTGGCTTCTGCAGGCCCAGAGAAGCCCCTGCTCTGCATCCCACTCTAAGGGACTGGGAGCAAATGTGTCTCAGGCTGTGGCCTCCAGCCCTGCCTGACTGTGGGCTCTTCTGGCAGACCCTGCACATAAGCCCCAAGCAGTTTGTGGTGGATTTGCTGGCCATCACTGGATTCAAGGATGACCGGCACACCCAGGAACGCCTGTACAGCTGGGTCGAGGTGAGGGCCACCTGCACCCCATGGGAAATGGCAACCCTCTGGAAGACTCAGATGGACACTGTCTTGCTGCATGAGGGCCAAGCCAGTGCTGCCCAGAAGGTGAAGATAGGGAACTAGAACTCTAGTCCCTGGTCCCAGGAAGGGAGGAACAATGGCTGAAATTAACCTGTCCAGAGTGGTCAAAAAGCAGTATTTGGGTCACTACTTTTTATAGTCTTCTCCAATGTTTGCCAAATTAGCCTTCATCACTAACAACCCTGACCAGGGATGCACATCATATGAGCTCGTTTTGGGGTGTTGAAATCAGAGAAACTATTGGCAGTCACATGCTTTCAGAGAGTTATAGATACCAACATCACCTACTCAAACATGATGTCAATACTTTCGTATCATACATTCCTTTTCTACTTAAGCTACTATAAAGCAGTTTTTACAAAGAAAGTTCTTCAATAAGGGCAAAGGAATGACCCCAGTTTTTGTTTTTGAGTCCTTCAAATAATTTTAGGATTCAAATTTTTATTTGAACGTTGGAGGTGAAAAAGATTTGGCTAATTTTTCATTAATCTATTTCTATAATCAAGTCCATTATTATAACACCTTTCACCATAAACATAATAGTGCCAAGTTACTAGCCTCTGCCTAGTCTGTTGACTGGAAATGAAGTCAGCATCTACGACTAGAAAGTGGAAAACCAATGACAGAGAACATGCACTTTTGATCCTCTGTTCATTTCATTCTGTGCCCTGATAGCCACTCTGAGCCCCAGGTCTGTGAGATGCCTTTAGGCAGAACTGAGGTCAACAGCACCAACTGGCTTTACCCCAACCCTGCACCCACCCAGATAGGAGGCCCTCACAAAGCTAGAGCAGCAGCCAGCCAGGAGTAAGACCAGCCTCTCCTTCCAGCTCACGTTGCCTTTCGCCAGGAAATATGGCCGCTGTGTGGACCTGCTCATCCAGAGAGGCCTGTCAAGGTCTGTCTCTTACTCTGTCCTGAGCAAGTACTTACAAGATGGCTAAGGTGCCCAGCCATGCTTGGGGAGATATGCTGCCCCCACATCCCACCCATCCCATCGCCAAGATGCATTTTAACCAGGGATGTCCCCACTGAAGGGTGCATTATCAATTTATTTTTTATTATAAACAAATAAAGAATAAACCACGAGTCAAGGGTCTGGACTCTATCTCTGAGAACCAAAGACCTTACAACCAGTGAAATAATCTTATACAACTCTAACTGAAAGCTATTCAAAAACCTCTGAGTCCATGTAACCAAACTGGATTGGGGAGCTAGGGCAGGCAAGAGGAAGAGTCCAGTATGGAGGAGCCTGGCTTTGAGACCCAGAGTTGGGAAGCAGTGGCAAAGAACACAGCTCTGTTCCTCCTAAAGGGTGGGGCAGCTTAGTCACTACCAGAGCCACTCAACATCCCACTAGCCTAGGGCAAAGAAACATACATCCACCTTCTGCTCTGGGTGGGAGCAGAAGATAGGGACAGAAGGGGACATGGGCCAGGAGCCCAAAATGAGGGTGCTCATTTAGGCTCTGCTGCCAGAATCCCCTGGAGAGAGTCACTGCTGATCTGTCCAATGGACACAGACATCAGAATGGGTGGTCAACAGGACTGTGCATATGGCCTGGAGGTGACCCAGTTGCCGCCCATGGCCTGGTCATAGCAGATCTCCAGGGAGGTGATGCTCCTTGGATCTAATGACTCCTGGATCCACTGCCCACCTTCAAGCCCAGGCTCAGACCTGTGGTACAAAGCCAGGTATGAACACATATTTCCCTGGCTCAGGATCCAGGTGGGGGTCTCTAAGGAATGTCTCTGTTCCACCACCCTCATTTCCACCTAAAGACAAGGGTGCCATAGGCCCAGGTAGAGCTGAGAAATCGCCGGTAGGTACAAGGCAAAATGGCACTCACGTAGGACAAGTCCTCCAGGCCCTTGCCCAGGATCTGCCCTGACACACAGCTGCTGTCTGAGCCACTGGAGCCACTGGCAGATGGGCACTGGGAGGAAACCTCTGAGTCCTCAGGAGCTGGGAAGGGAGGCCAAGTGAGCCATCAGCAGGGGAGGCCCAGACCCCAAGTCATGCCCTCCTGCCTCTGGGAAAGCCCAGAAACCTACTCAAAGATGGCTGACTGCCCAGCTCGGCATCCGTCTCCAGTGCCGCTTCCTCTGGGAAACTGGTAGAATACAGGGGCCAGCGGAAGCCCAGAAGAGCTGGGTCTCTGTGCAGATGCAGGTTGAGGGACCCCAGTACGGAGCAAGAGGCAGGGTCTCCAGGAAGGGCGCTTGAGGCCCCCAGGTAGGGGCTGTCAGAGTCGAAGGGAGCCACAGCAATGGAGGCCCGAGAGCGAACCGCTGCATGAGAAAGAGAGTCTGGCTGGGCCAGAGCCCAGCTGGGCTGAGGTCCTGAGGGGAGTGCAGGCTAGTACTGCCAGAGGCCCACATCGCTCCCTGATGGGGCTCCCCACCCCACCCCCGCAGCCTGTCTGCTACCTCGGCACTTCAGGATATAGTTGACAGTGCGGTCGTTGATTGCTTCTTCGCTGGGGGCGATGTCCCGGAAGGCCTTGTTCCCCACACCCATAGACACCATCTCAGCCATGCGCACCTCTAGGTGGAAAGTGGATATCTGGACGTCAGCCTGGCCCTTTATCACTCCCCCTCCTCATATAAAGTCTCTCCTGGACACCCATAGCATGTGGACTGTCCTGTGCACCAAACACTCAGAGGCTTACATGTCCTCAGCCTGAGATGGTGACGTCAGGACTGCCTTACTTGAGTTCCTTACCTGTGCTGGCTGTTGCTGCTGGACCTTTTCCACCGGTGTTTCCAGTTCCTGAGGCCCTCCCTGGGGCCCCTCTGGGACAATGTAAGCTCTCCAAGGAGGGGATCATGGGATGAAATGGGGCAGACACCCACCCTTGTTGTGGACGGCCTGCCTCCAGAGCAGGCGGGAGATGTCAGCTGTCCAGGCCTGCTTGGTGGCCAAGCTGGCGGCTTGTAGCACAAAGGTGTCCTTGGCCTTGCGACGGCGAAACCAGATCTCAAAGCGCAGGTTGTTGTCCCCACAGCACTCAGTGAGGCCAAGGTCTGCCATCTGTGTGGCCAAGAGAGGAGCTCAGTGAGGCTCTAGGGGTGCTGGGGGTATGGGGAGGGGCCGGGTGGGCCTACCTTGAAGGAGCGCTTGTAGGTAAACATGTCGATGCCTGTGGGTCCTCGGCGAGGCTTGCTGAAAAGCAACAGCTCCTCAAAGAGGAAAATGCGACGCAGGGATTTGTGGCGCCCACAGCGTACTGTGAACTCATCCTGCCGGACCAACTGGCCCTGTTCCTTGAGGTTGACCTGCCAAGTGGGGGTCTGGTGGGTGCCTGGCCTCTTCCACCCCCTCCCTTCACACCCACTGCCCCTGGCCACCACGGCCTGCCAAGACTCACATCACAGCCATGGATGGCATCCATGGCTAGCAAGTCATTGCCGTGTCGCAGCTGGAAGTGCACGAGGCTCTGGGCAGCCCGCAGGGCACTCAGCTCCTGTGCGGGTCCCCCGCAGGCCCGCGCCAGCTCCTGCAGCAGCAGCGCGTACTTGCTCATGCGCTGGATGGGCTTCAGCAGGTAGGAGGCCAAGTCCAAGTGGTCCCCCAGTGCCTGCTGCTTGTCCTGCCGGGTGCATCAGACACCGTCAGGGAGCTTCCCGTTGTTTGCTCCATCCCCTCTCCCGCTACAGGCTCAGGCTCACCCACCCTGAAGAAGACGTGACCATAGCTGGTCATCAGGGCATCAGAGCGTGGTTTATTCTTGCTGTAGAGTGCGTACATCCCAAACTGCACCCTCTGCAAAGATACACAGTTTGACCAGGTGCAATGGGCCAGCTCCAAGGGGGTCAGACCACACTCAGCTCGGGAGGCCCAAATTGCCGACGTGTAGCCAGAAGGCCTCCCACCAACAGATCCTACCTGCCCTGCTTGGAGTGACGGGTGATCTGGCAGGAACAGGCGCTGTGCAGGGAGGGGCTTGTCTACAGGGCTCTGGGGAGGAAGTCCTGCACACAGCCCTGCCACTCCCACGGCCCCAAGAGCTCTGCTCTGGTCCCATCTCACCTTGGACGACCCTTCCCCTGCTCACAACACTAAGCTACACTGGCCCATCTGCTTCTCGACCACGGGGCCTCTGTCCTGCCCAGCACGTTGTGCTTGACCTTTCCTCTGAATGGAATGCTCTGACTACAGCCCCTCCCTCTGGCCTGAGCTCAAACATCAGCTTCTCTTAAGATGCCTCTCTAACTGTTCTCTCTAAAGGGGGTACCCTTGCCTCACTGATAACTCACCATCACCTATCTGGATGTTTTTCTAACCCCAATTATAATCTGGAATTATCTATTTTACACTCACATCTCCTCTGCTAAACTAAAAGCACCCTGAATAACAGGGGCCAGTTGGTCCTGCTCATAGCTGTACCCATCACAGGACCTGACACCAAGGTCAGACCCAATAGCTCGCTGTTGAGTGTGGCAGGATCAGCCAGGGGCCTCGTGGCCTGTGGGGCTTACATGGCGCAGGAAGGCATAGGCCACCCGGGGTGGGTGCTGGGTACAGGCCTCCAGCTCACGCAAGAAAAAATGGCGGTGGAAGTCCCACAGCTTCTCCAGGTTGCCAAAGAGTTGGGCACGCTGGCCACGGAGGCCCTGGGGGACATCAGGGCGATCCAGCTCAGGGAAGTAGTTCTCCATGGTGTAGTCCAGGGCACGGACATACTCCCTCTCCGTAGCCACCATCTCCGCCAGCACCAGCTGAAGTCTACCAGGGAGGTGGAGTCAAGACCCAAGACATCTGCCCTGCCACCACCCTCCCTGCCCTGCCCACTCTCTGTACCTGTTGGGGCTCCTGGGGTCACAGCTCCCTGGAGGAGGCATGGTGGGGCATGACCCTGACTGGGCACCATCTCCAGCCTCTGGTCTGTGGCAGGCAGGTACAACAGCCTCATGGTGGCACTGGTGGGCAGGTTCTCTGAGACTCAATCCCAGATTCCGATCAAGGCTATAGGCCTTTCTCAGGGGAGGGACAGCAGGTACCGCTGGGACCCGGCTGACACACAGGCTAGCTGTGCTACCCGTCAGGGGTGACTTCAGAGCAGCTTCTAACTTCTGATCCAGGGCCAGCCAGGTATCCTGGCACTGCGCCCAGGCCCAGCGGCACTCCTGGCGAATGCCCTCAGATCCCAGCCCTGTGGCTAGAGCCCACATCTTTCGGAAGTGGGCAGGAGGCAAGTCCGGGTGCTTGGTCCAGTGCAGCTGCAGCCGCTGCAGCACAACCCCTGGGCACTCCTGTTCCAGCTCTGCCAACACTTGCCGCCCCTCCTCGGCCCAGGTCAAGGCCTGCAACACCAAGGCCAGATGGGTGCTGAGGAAGGATCTCCCCAAGACTGCTGAGCCTTCCCTATCTCCCCCCATCCCCACGGAACGGTGGCCCCAGGCTGCATCCCCAGTGGATTTGGGAGTCAGACTGAAAACAGGGAGAGAAAACAGGCACGATATCCTTCAAAGCTCAGGCTGCCATAGCACTAAGCAGCCACCCCTCTGACTTCCCTGACCACCTGGAACCAGGGACAGGACCCCTCACCCACCTGCTTGAAGAACTGCAAGAGTTTCTCGGCATCTGCCAGTCGCTGCCGCCGCTGGGCCAAAGCCCTAGAGAAGTCGGCCAGCTGGGTTTGCAGGGTCAGAAAGCGGGTCCCAAAGGGGCCCAGTTCGGCCGCATCACAGCCAACCAGTGGCTGCAGACATTTCTCCCCTCGCCTGACCTGTTCCTGGAGACAGAGTCTGGAATCAGCAAGCCTAGGCCTGGCATTGCAGTTGCTGAGCCCAAGTCTTTTCCATGGATGTCTACATGGCATCATCAAGTCACTTCTGTGAAGACTAAAGCTCTGCAACCCCTCCCCCAACCCCCTCTCTCTGTGCTCCTCTCCACAGCCAAACTCCCTGAGGAAACCATTATTTTCATCACTACTTCTTAACTATGTTGGCCTTCTGCAACCCCACTCTATTCCCCATCCCCAGCGCCTCTCAGGCTTCCTCTCTTACCATTCAGTAGTACCAAGCCTCTCTCCTCTAGCTCCCCTGACCTCTCCCCTTCTCCCTGATTCTCCTTGGCTTTCTCTAGTGCTTCCCTGCTCCTGATCCCCCATCCCTTACCTCCGTTGTTAAACCTTGGTGTTCCTGAAGACAGTCCACTCTCTCCCCTCAGGCAATCATGTGCAAACACACTTCAAACATCACCCGTACACCTACAACCACCAAACGAGCCTCGACACTCAGCGCTCCCTCTCCTTTCCTTATGGTCATTTCCAGAGTACATCCAAGGCTGGAGAGATGAATGCCCTTTCCCCCAGAAGGCCCGTCTCTCAGGGAACAGTACATATTCACCTTTGTAAATGCTTCTCCCTCTTACAGCCTCATATGTATCCACCATTGAATCCCATCAACTTCTCAAATGTTATCTCCTCTGCCACCATCCTGGCCAGAGTAAGCATCTTTCCCACCTGGACCACCACAAGTGCCTCTTCAATGGACTCTGCATGTCCATCCACCAAGTCACTGTCTACCCAGGAGTTATGGTAGAATACAAATCTGATTATATGATTTTCCTGCTTAAATTGTACTCCATTACAGGACCCAGTTCCTGGCCACTGGCCACTCTTCCGGCCTCATTTTACCTCATCTCACCCCACTCTCCCTCCATCTTCTGCTCTGTATTTCATCCTCAATGACTTTCTGATGGTTCCTCAGGCAAGCCACACTCCCTCCTATCACAGGACCTTTGCACATGCCTTTTGCTTCCTCAGTCTGAAACATATCTTATCTCTAACCCTCTTCTGCCTGGTTAATGTCAACCTATCCTTCAGATCTTAGATCAAAAGTCACTATCTTGAGAGAGTTTGCCCAAGACCCTTCCTGGTTCAAGACTTTATCATACACTCAGATAGAAACACCTGTATTGCTTCTCTCTAGAACTTTTGCACAGAAAGAACAAATGTGCTCAGTCGCACAGTCACGTCCAACTCTTTGCAACTTATGGACGGTAGCTTGCCAGGCTCCCCTGTCCATGGGATTCTCCAGGCAAGAATACTGGAGTGGGTTGCCATTCCCTTCTCCAAAAAAGAATATATACATGACTTTCAATCTTTGGTTACAACTGATCTCCTCCACTGGCTTGTAATTTCCAAGAGAATGAAGACTAGATTTACTTTCACCCACTCTGCATTCCAAGTTTCTGGCAAAGTGCTCCAATACCTACACAAGGAACAAGTAACCAAACTCACCTGAGCAATCTGGTCCAGTTCCCGAAAAGGGCCTTGGGCCTGAAGCAGCATGTCCAGTGAGGGCTCCCTGAACTCCTCAAGTGCTGGCCAGCCCACCTGCTGAAGCCACACTTCCATCTGGAAGAGTACGAACAAGGAAAGGAGAGTTGCTATGGGGTGGGGTAATGCTTAAGATTAGAGGTGAGGCCCACCTGGGCAGATAGTTCTCACCTGGTGCAGCTCGCCCTCCTGGGCCTCCAGCGTCTGGACCAACTCCAGCGCTTGTATTCGGCGGTTACCCTGCAGGGTCAATTGGTGCAGCAATCCATCCACACAGCCATACAGCTCCTCAACCTCGTCCACTGCTGACCTGGTGCGTGGTACACGTCTTAGTGCCCCTTCCAGGTGCCTAGCTCTACTTGACCCTGACTTGGGACCATAATCCTGGCTGGTTTGGGCCAGACACTGAGTCCTTGGCATGGCATATGGTGGGCTGGGGCAAGACCTGAGCTTGTACCTACCTGTAGTCTGGGCTCAGGGTCACCTCTGGGACCTCTTGCTTTAGCCATGTGAGCTCCAAGGCTCCCTGGCATTGTAGCCATGCCAACCGTGGAGAGTCTAGCACATGCTCCATCAAGACCCGTGCCTGCCGCAGCAGTCGACCAACTTCCTATGGTTAAGAGCAACAGGTGGTGGAGGCACGTGTGGAAGAAGGAAGATAGGGAGAATTTGGGGAGGTGTCAAGAGGGGACACTCACCCCAGACTCCATGGGCTGGGGCACAGCCTTCATGCTCTCAATGGCTCCCTGAAGCAGGGCACAAACCCCCTGGCAGCTCTGCAAGAGGGCTTCCAGACGCTGTGAACAGAGTCAGGCATGACCAGTGCAGAGCACAGGGCTGGTCCCAGGCATCTTGGATCCCAGGCCACTGCAGCCAGCTATGCACTGCTCAAGCCAGCCCAGGGGAGGCTCCTCTGCTGACCAGATCGCCTGCCTACCCACCCAATGCTCCACCCAGTGTACAGACCATCCGGAAGTCCAGCCAAGCCTGGTGACAGTAAGGCAGGCCTCCTCCTAGTGAAGTGAGCAACTCTGAAGTGGAGATGTGGGTCAGCAGGCTTTGGTGAGAGGATAGATGCTCTAACTGCAGAAAAAGGAGGTGTAGTGGACTCGGGCCTGGTGGGGACTCACCCCATCTCCACCCTGACCAAAATGGCTCAGTACCTGTAGCCCTGCAGGCACTTCCTCTGGCAGCTTTCCCACCAGCAGCACACGGTGCACTGATCCCGGGACTGCTTCCTGCAAAGAATCTGAGCTCAGCCCTGACCCCGACCCTACACGAAAGGAATGGCTGGGGGGAAGAAGGGAGCTACAATCCTGTACTCACTTGCAGTTGGCTGAGCCCCCAGAACATGGAAGAGCTTGGGGAACAAATCCGGGCATCCACCAGCACAGTCAGTCCCAAGGTCTGTACTTTGGGCCTAAAGGAGCAGGCTTTGGTTGAGTATCTATTTCCCCAACCGTGCCATCTCCTGGCTCAGGTTCTGTCCCCCAACCTCCTCCCCCAACCTGGGGATGCTTTGCAAGTAGAGCAGGAGGCGGACGAGCTCATGGCTGTTGCACTTGGGGTGATTCCAGGCCGAGTTATGGGCACACAGAAGCAGCACTGCCCGGCCTTCTACATCTCGAGTCCCTGTGGGGAAAAGGCAGTGAACATCTGCTCAATCAAGCCACCCCACCTGTACCGCCTTTAGTGTCTCCCAGCTAGCTACCTGGCAGGGCAGCCATGCCACTGGCAAGCAGCTCCCAGGCAAGGTCTTGGGCCAGGAGGTAGTCAGTGGACTTCAAGAGCCTGGATCTGTGGGAGTCTTGGGGAGGAAAACTGTTTGGGTCTACACTGGGCAATCTACCCAGAGACCCCCTATTTGCACCTGGGCTTTAGCCTGAATAGGATCAGAAGGACCCTCCCTCCTTCCCTCCCAAGACTTCCCTGGCCCAGCCTTCCTTACCTGCCTCCAGTAGCCCTGACGACGTCTCAGATAAACGACCTCCATGGTTCACAGGGTCACTGTCCAACCCTTCAGGGTCTAAGCGGACTGGCACGACCCTGCCTGAAACTGAGTCCCCTGCCAAGTCTCCTCCTTGGCTGTCATTCTCACCCTGTGCCAGACTAAGGTGGGAAGACATTGGACTTAGGAGGATCTCCACTCCATAGGAGGCTGGTTCATTCATGTGGACAGAGGACCCTCCTAATGTGCCCTTCTGGCCATGCCCCGACTCATCTGCAACCATCTGTCCTGTGGGTGATTGAAGCTCGCCAGGCAGAGGGCTGCCCTGGAGCTCCTCCCCAGCTGCCCCTGCTGGTGGGCTTGGAGGATGGGGGTTCTTAGCCTGGATTTGGGGAGCAGGTTCCCCCTCATCCCAGGCATCTCTGAAACTGCACACAGCAAATCTCCAGTCGGTGGCATGGCCCTGGGACTCTGGAGACTCATCCCCATCCTCCAGGGGCCCTTCCATCACCCCTTCCTTAAGGGTGGGCCTGCTCCAAGCAAACGGGAGAGGAGCTAAGCCCTCGGTGTGAACTGAGACCTCAGCTCATCCAGGAAACACGTTGAAGATGGCCGGGTAGGGCTCGGTGGGCGATGCAGGCGGAAGGCACTAGGCCGTAGGAGGCACCAGTCTTGGTGCCCGGCACCGGGAGCACAGCGGCTGTCGCAGTTGAGGCCTGAGGAGAAGGGAGAAGGTCTGGGGTCTCTCCCTCAAGCTTGGGACCGGCGGGGCCGCGCTCCCGTGGGCCTTCGCCCAAAGGGCCCCACGCTGGGCCGGCCTGCGCGGGTGGGACGCTCAAGGCGGGGGCGGGGCGCCGCCTCGTGCTCGTGCTCGCGCCGGCCCGGCCGACCCCGGCCTCGCCACGGACACTCGCGCTCCCGTTTCCTTGCCCACCCGCCGGTCACGCTCACAACGTCAGGACGCGCCGACGGGGTAACGCGAACCCAAAACGCCAGGCAGCCGGAGCCCTCGAATGTACCGCATCGCTGCCTCGACGGCGGCTACGGTGCGCAGCCTCCAGACCGCCGGGGCGGGCACGGGCGCAGCAGGGAACGCGGCGGCGCAGCACCGCCCCCTGGGGGCCGGAGGACGCAGCCACCGCCCACCCCGCCCGGCCCGACGGCAGCCGACCGAGCCCGAGCCCGAGCCTGCCAGAGAGCGCCGAGACCGGCTCTCGCAGCGCCCCCTGCCGAGCCGCCCCTTCGTACCCCGCGGGCCGGGACGGCTCGGCTTCGCCCCAGGGACTTCCAGCTGACTTTGACTTGGCTTCTCAGTCCGCCGGTAGGGGCAACGACCAGCGGCCTTCCCACGGCGCCCACGCCCCCGGCCTGCTCAGCGCGCCAGAAGCGCTCCCCCTCTTGGAAGGCGGCGTAGGTGCGCGAGGGTGAGTGAGCCAGGGGTCCGCCTGGGGGCGAGGGAGGGGGCTGGCGGAGTGGCAGGGTGGGGGTGGGGGAGGCTTCTGCTCTTAAATGCACGCAGGATGGAGGGAGTACAGCCCCAGCCTCCCTGGGCAAAACAAGGAGAGCTTCTGTCTGCCTGGAGACCCCTAGGAAGAGAGACTCCGGAAGCCCAGACCAGCTGCTTCATGCTGCTGGCAGCCAGTAGGGGTATCTTCATGGAGGGAGGGGCCCTTCCATTGCAGCCCCTCTCTTCCTTTCCAGTCCTCAGGCCCAGGCACCGAGAGACAGGTTGTATGATCCCATGATGGGACGTGGGGGCTGCTGTCTGGGCTAGAGGGAAGGAGGGAGCTCTGTAGTGGGTGCTGACCCAGATTCGCCAGAATCCACCAGGCCCGGACTCTCCACTCCCTTGCGTTCTTGGCACTTCTGTCATATACACCCTCTCCCCAGCTCCACAGCCCCTACCACAAAGTCCAGCCAAAGAGGCTGGGACCGAGGACAGGATTCAGCAAGCAGAGGGCCAGGTATGCCCTTCCCCTTACCTGCTGGGTGAGCTCCTGCAACTCAGTGCTGCTCTTACCTCATCTTACTCACCTGTAAAAGAAAGAAGGAAAGTCGTTCCTTTCTCCTGGGATTCCCCCCTGAGAACTAGGAAAGACCTGTATGTCAGAGGTCCACTTGCTGCCAGCTCTTGGGCTGTGTTGGAGCCCTGCCCTTCATTTCATGCTCGGTCATAGGATCCTGAACTGGTGAAAGTCACTTGGAGAGCTGACCTATGAGATCTCGCTCAGCTCTGAGGTGTGAAGTCCCTTTGGGGACATGTGGGTCTGGCCTGACACTCCCCCAAACTTGTGGGAAGATTATAAGAAGGTAGGCTATGTGACCAGAAGAAGACACCGTGCCCCTTAACCTTATTCAGGCCCTGGGTTCCTTGTAGAGAGAGGGCAGGGCTACAGTGGCTTCCCTGGCTCTAGGGTAGTCACCTCCTTCAAGAAGCTGCCAGAGGAGGGAATCAGGGCATCAGAAGGAGCACCAGCAATCCTCCCCTCCCCACCGTTGCAGCTGCCACATCAGCACCAAGTCAGCCTCTCAGGAGCCTCCTTCTTCAGAGGATGTGGCTGCGAGTGAGGAGGCTTGGGGTTGTCCTGCTCCATCCCCAACCCCCAGCAGGCCCTCTCATCCCACCCTCCTCTAGCTTCAGCGAGCATCAGGACCAGCCTTGGCACCCTCCCCAGCTGTCTTAGAGCCGCCCCACTGAGTCACTGCCTCCAGCTCCCTCCCTCCCCTTCTGCTGCCCACTGTCTGCCCACCCCCACCCACCAGCCAGGCTCCCTGTGAGCCTTAAGAGCTGGTTAGACCTGCTGGCTGGCACATGTATCCCTCCAGAGCCAAAGACAAGAGGCCTCAAGCCACAGGCCATAGCTGACCCCAGCACCCCTGGGCACAGGCAGATAGATTCAGGGGCAGGGCCAGGCCTTGGTTTAGTCACTCTGCACAGAATGTGCGTTGTAAGCTTTGTGAAGACAGAGACCATGTATTGCCCACTTCTGTATTTCTTGTATCTAGCACAGGGCCTGGAATAAATATTGAGGGGTGCCTGAGACTGGTCACACCAGCCCTGCCCTCCTGAGGCTCTCCATTTATGAGCCAGATGTAAACCAGAGTCACAAATGGAAGCAGATTCAGAGGCTCAGTCGGAGAGGGCCACAGAAGAGGCAGAGGGTGGCAAGATGCACAGCCCCAGGAGGGCAGAGAGACAGATAGAAATGGGGACAAACTGGGCCTAGTGGGGAACACTGGGGGCTGGGCCTGGAGCCAACCTGAGCCGCTGACCACAGCAGGCTCTGTGGGCTGAGTTTGCAGGACTGAGCAGTGACTCATGGGGCCCAGCTCTGTGGCTCTCCTGGCAGCAGAATGTCCTCACAGAAGCCTTTTCCACTGAGATCATGAAATGGGGATGGGCCTCCCTCCCCTGCCCCTTTACCAGCCAGCTTCGCATTTCTTACCGACATGAGCCAATCAAAAATGGAGTGGGAGCTCTGTACTTCTGTGGGCCTAGTGATAAGAGAACCACATTCATTGCCCTCATTCCACCCCAAACCTTCCCCTCTTCAGTACTGCCCTCGACAGCGAGGGTGACAAATACCCTACACCTTCCAGACCTATCTCACCTCTAGCCTAAATAAACTCTATACTCCTTAGTGTGGCATTCAAAGCCATTCAGAGACATAATCACAGCCTTCCTGTCTAGCTCTTACATAGGCCTGGAAAATTCACCTGATCACAAGTTTTGTTGCAAAATGTTTCCCTGTTCCTGGAATGCCCAGGTGGCACAGTGGTAAAGGATCTGCATGTCAATGCAGGAGACACAGGAGACATGGGTTCGATCCTTGGGTCAGGAAGATCCCTTGAAGGAGGAAATGGCAACCCACTCCAGTATTCTTGCCTGGGAAATCCTATGGACAGAGGAGCCTGGCGGGCTGCAGTCCATGGGGTCACAAAGATTTTTTGAAGGATGTGGTCCCTGGGCCATCTCCTTTTGGAGAGCCGGTTCAGATTACAGACCTCTGGGCTCCCATAGACCTGCTGAGTCAGAACCTTGGGGTAGGCCCAGGAATCTGTGTTTGACAAGCTCCCAGTGGTTCTGACACCAGGGTCTAAGAATGGCTGCCAGCCGTCTCCAACACAAGCACCTTCACATCCCTGGGCCTCCTAGCAGGTCTTCCATCTCTAGCCTTTCCTCCTACCAAGCCTTTCTCCACGTGGGCTTTCACCCATCCTCCCCCAGCACCAGCTACATTCATGCTCACTAGTGCACGTCACTGCCCACACTCCCTCGGTCACAGTTCTCCCAGGCTGCCACCTCCAAAACTCGGCAGGGTCACCCCACCCAAGCTTTTGTGTCCTTGGCTGGCCTCTCCCCAGCATGTCACCCACTGCTCCTTGCTTCTCACTGTGTGTGCTCCAGATGTCTTTTATTCATGGTGCTCTTCCCACCTGGAATGCACCCACATAGCCTCACCCATGCTGTCTGAGCCCCGTCTCACACACACACACACACACACACACACACACACACACTCAGACTCCTCTCAAAGCTTCCCCCGCTAGATCTCCTCCAGGCCTCACAGAACTTTCTCTGCTCTTGGGCTTGTAACGTAACACCAACAGTGACTAACATTTCTAATCCTTTTCCACAGGCCAGGCTGTGTACCTGGTTCTTCTCATTTCATCATCCAGACAGCAATGGTATGAAATAAGGATCCCATTTTAGAGATGTAGACACTGGAACTCGGAGAGAGTGTGTAACATACCTAAGGTAACATACCCGGCAAGGGAGGGCTGGGACCAGCTGCTCAGCCTTATCACAGCTGACTGTAAGCCGTGTGAGGGCAAAGCCTGAAAGTCACTCTTCCTTCTCTTCACACATTCCCCAGGCATAAATCAGAAAAAATGGTTGACTAAATGTGTGAGCTTTGCAGTGTGTTCAGGGTTTCAGGTCTGTGAAGACGAATGACAGATCAGTGATTATCTAGGGCTCGGCAGAGGGTGAGGAGTGACTGCCGACAGTACAGTTTCTCTGGGAGACGATGAAACTGTTCCAAACTTAGCTTGTGGGGAGGGTTGCACAACTCTGTGAATATGTTAGAAAACCACCAAGCTGTACATTTTAAATGGGTAAATTTTATGGGGGGGTGTGTATGTGAGGTATTGATAGATAAGCCCAGTGGAAACTGGGTCTGCTGTCATCAGGGGTTTCAAGCCCTAGATGTTTCTGGACCCCACACTCTCCAATTTGTATCAGAAACATTCAGGGTAACCAGCTCCCTTGAGGTTGTCCTCCCACTGCCATGTGCAAAACACATCTTTTCATTTGTTCTACCCCTCCCTCCAGGCATTTGAGGAACGTTTATCTGGTGCCAGTGTGTGTTGGCTGCATCTTTGGGCACCTTGGCACCTGACCTCTGGGGTCTCTCTTCCTGCAAGTCATTCCCATTTTGTGGACACCCAGTTCTGTGACCCGGTGCCCAGACAACAATTCCCTGGACTTGCTGCAGGCTTCCTGTAAGGTGACGTAGTGGGAAAGAATGGGAGCAGAGGGAGGGAGGGCCATAGGGCCTAACAGTCCTTCCCCGGACCGCCCCCCTCCCCACCCCGCATTCTGTATCCGGGAAGCCCTGGGGCACAGAGTTGAAAGTTTCCATCTCCCTCACCACATGCCCTTTTGCCCACTTCTCACACCTCAAAACCCCCAGACACATGGGCGCAGGACACACATCCATCTGAGAGATGTTTAATGTATCTTAGGTTCAAGGTACAAAATTCAGGGCAGATGCTAACCCCAGGAAAGTCACCTGCCACCCAGTCAGCCCCTTTTCCATTGTAGTCAGGCCTCTCAGCCACAGAGCACCGGAGCAGTGATCCTGGGATACCTGGCCCCTTTCCTGTTCAGGGAATAACGAGGAGACAGTGTGGGAGGCCAGAGGCCACCATCTCCTCTCCTCACAAATCTCAGACCCAAGGATCTGAAAGGTCCAAACCCAGATGCAAAGCAGCAGATCCCCAGAGTGACACCGGCCAAGAAGCAGCCGTGACCCGAAGCCTGGCCGAACCCTGTGGCCTGGAATTGGAGGAACTATTGTCCCAGAGACTGGCAGCAAAGGAAGATAAAGCAAGGAGTGGAGACAGATTTCCACTGCTCCAAATCAACTGGCTGTGGGTAGCTGTGCCAACAGGGCAGCAAAGCCTGCTGCACCTCCCAGCCCAGTCCCTCTGAGGACCAGCCCCTCATGGAGCCTCCCTGCCAGGTTCCTGAGCTGACATTGGGTTGGGGCAGGGTGGAGTGCAGGACAGCCCAGTGTCAGCTGAGGAGAGATGCCCTTACTTGGGGGACAGGAACTGCTCCCCAGGAGCACCCGCTGGGGAAGGAGCATCAGCTCCCCTTGTCTCTGGGCCTTGCCTCTAAAAACATCTGGACTGGGTCTTGAACCAGAGTTAGGGCCTTTTTGAAAGGGAAGGTGGCAGGAGTTTTGGAACAAGGAGGGTGGTGAAAAGGGTTCCTGTGAGGACCAGCCCACGAGACCCTTCTGACCTGCCCCAAGGGAGCCCAGCTGCTACTTCAGTCCAGGCTCCTCTAACCCCATGTCCGGTTGAGTGGGCTCCTCCGCCCGTTGTGCAGGGAAGACTTCCAGGGGGGCTCCGGCCCCCTGCTCCTCCCCGAGTCTCTGGGCTACAGCCGGCCGCCTTTGTTGAAGTGGATGCACCAGTGGGAGTTGGCGGTGCCTGGGCTGAGATGGGTGTGGTCCTTGTGTCCCATGAGGGGCTGCAGCTCCTGCTGCTGGGGGATGTCAGCGCTGCTCTCACTGCGAGAACGGCCCGCCTTGGCCAGGCTCGGGGGGAAGGCAAAGCAAGAGTGTGGATCAGAGGAGAGGGGCAGCTTGAGAGGGGCCTGGGGCTCTTCCGGGGCCCGTGGGCGGGGAGGCAGGCGTGTCATCGTTGGAGCCTGAGTACACGGCGGGGATGCCAAGCTCTCCAGGGACGAGATGCTCTGGTTCCAGCCTGTCTGCATGTCCACGGGCACAATCTTGGTGGTTTCTGAGGACACGTAGACAGCCAGGTCCCCCTGCCCACTCTTCCAGGGCAGCTCCTTCTCCGCACAGGTTGGGGACGGGGGGATGATGCGTGGGCTGGGGCACACCTCAAGGCTCCCTGGGGACAAAGCAGACAGGCACTCATCGCCAAGCCAGTGACACTTTCTCAAGTGTGAGCACAGAAGTTCATTCTGCAGTTGCCACACACCATCCATTTGTGCAGTTATTGGATGCACGCCTGGCCCAGGGGAAGCGCCACAGCTGGGTTTGCTCCCCACTGTATCCCCAGCACCTAGCACAGGACTGAGCATGTAGCAGTTGCTCAACAAATACCTACTGAACAAATGAAAACAACTAGAACAAGCCAAAGCGAGAGCGAGGCAGGAAAAAACCCATCTATGATCAGCCCTCAACCAACTTGCAGTGCCAGGCTTAAACCACATCCTGCTAGGCCCCTGGCCCAGGGTGAGGAAGATCTCGAGGCTTGGCCACTGCACTCCTTGCCTGAGTTCCCACCGCAGCCCGTTGGTGGGACAGAGTCCAGGAGAGTGAGCTCACACGAACCTAAAACAAGCTAAAGATGAGCCGCAGAGGGGATGCCAGAGCACAGGGGATGTGAGCCGAGAATCCCAGAAGTGCTGACAGCCGTGATGGAAGGCTCAGCCACGGCATTACGGAAAGGCTGAGGCTCTGAAAGAGGAAAACAGCGAAGGAGCAGCCCTCTGGCTATCCACCACCCCTTGTTCTCCAAAGTCAAGCTCAGTGCCTTGCATATATGAGGTGCTCAGTCAGTGTCTGCGCACTGATAAAGTCCTGAGCAGTGCTGTGAACTTGACTTCAAGTGCTCCACGTTATGAAATGTATTGATGCTGTGACTGAGAGTGAAACTACCTCCCTGGAATGCTGTATGAAATTTTAACAACAAAAAAACTTCAGTGTTCACCTTTAGAGGATGCTAGGTAACTATTGGTCTGAAAACCGCTAAGTGAAAGGAAAAATTCAAGCATTTATCCATTCTTCCCTATATGAACTGTACCTTAGACTGACTAAATAATTGATGAGAGAAGGCTTTTTTTTTAATACAAGAATTCCTGCTAATCAATGCAAACAAAAAATAGACAGAATATCAGCATTGCGCAACCCAGAATGAACTGTTGGATGTGGCAGTGATCACCAGTGACTGCAAGACCACCTGATGAAAAACTGACAGGGAGTTTGATAATGGGTGGGTCAGGCTAACAACAACCGAAGCCAATAATCAATATTAACCTGCAAAAAGACAGCCAGCCATATGGTACATGCTCCCTGGTGAGACGCAGTGGGAGGTATAACATCACCACCTATGGAGTATGTTTATCAAGTCTGATCTAGATTTGAAGGGAATGTAAAGATCAGTGAAACAGACATATTAAATGATGCTTAGGGGATGCAATCAGCAAAATCCAGACAAGGAAGGACTGGGGGACAAATAACCAAGTTATGTCAATAAATACAGTGCAAGGAAAGAAAGTATGGTGGGGGGACCTATAAATCAGGGTTTTTCAAACTTGACACTGTCCCAGATAGGAGCAGAGACTTCGCTGTAGAGAGCTGTCCTGTGCATTGTAGGGTGTTTAACAATATCCCTGGCCTCTACCCACACATCGCAGAGGTACCCCTCCCACTGTGACAACACAAGATGTCTCCAGACAGTACCCTAGGGCAGGGGTCCCCACCCTCCAAGCTGTGAACCGCTACCTCCTGTCAGATCAACAGCAGCACTAGATCAGAAGCAAAGTGCACAATAAATGTAATACACTTGAATCATCCCCACCCATCCCCAGTCCATGGACAAAATGTCTTCCATGAAATCAGTCCCTGGTGCCAAAAAGGTTGGGGACCGCTGCCATAGGGGACAAAATCACTACTACTACCTCCTTAAGAATCAGTGTTGTATGTTAAAAGAGACTTATCCACCAAATTTCACGTGTGGGTCTTTGTCTGGATTTTTATTTGAACAACCTACTATAAAAATAAATGAAGACAATCAAGGAAATTTGAACATGGACTGGATATCTGATAACAAAGATTTTGGATATGATAATGGTATTGTGGTTATATTTTTAAGAAGGATCCTTATCTTTTAGAGATACTTGCTGAAGTATTTAGCAATAAAGTGGTATGATATTTGCAGTTTGCTTCAAAAGAATCCAGTGAAGAGAGGGGCATAGTGAAGGTGTAAGTGAAATAAGATCAGTTAGGAGTAGGTAATTATTGAAGATGGATGGTAGAGAGATGGGAGTTTATTCTACTATTCTGTCTACTGTATATTTTGAAATTTTCTATAATAGGATGTTTTTTAAAAGACACCTGAGAATTCTTGAGCCAACAGGCAGTGGTAATTAGCATTCTGAGTTCGTTAGGTCTCCACATATGGAAGCACATATATGTTGGTTTTTATCTATAGTGATGCTATTTTGATGAATGCAGGCTCCTCTCTCAGGTCCAGCTGCCACTCTTACTGGGGGCTGTACCTGAGGGCTGGTGTGCTGAGCACGGGTCACAGCAGAACCTGGTGTTAGGTCTGCTTGTCACCTTGTGTTTCTCGCCAGAGTGTAAAGGGAGGCAAGTGAAATGGCTGTGAGCTTTGGAATCAGATGGGTCAGGTTCAAATTCTGGTTCTGCTGATTTCTAGACAAGTCCCAAGTTCCTTTGAGCTCAGTTTCGCCATCTTGATTGTTGTGAGGACTGAATCAGATCATAGATGTCAGATGTCTGACATAAAAGAAATGCTGAGTAAATGCTGGTTGATGAGTGAATGAGCAGATAGGCAGAGGGACTGTCTAGAGCAAAGGCCATCAGCAAAGGGGGAGGAAGCCAAGTGCGTAGCTCCAGTTGGCTCCAGAGGGAGGCAGGCAGGAGGAAGCCATTACCTGAGGCCTTGCCCTCCTGGAGAACCTCACTGGTGGCCCGAGCCACGAAGATGATTCCCTCGTCATCCTCCTTCTCTGTCTCCGAACTGTCGCTGTCCTCCTCCTCCTCAGACTCCACGGTTAAGATCACAGCAGCTGGACAGGGACAAGAGCTGAGTGGGATTTGCCAGCCCAGCAGCTGCGTCATGGTACCACACCACCTGGAACCCAACCCCTTGTCCATCTAGGCGGAGCCCACAGTTGGTAGAGACACCTGCTTTGTCCTTTGGCTGTTACAGCACTGGCCTAGGGTGGGGGAGCTTGAGAGGAAGGGGCATGGGGCTCCAGAGCCCCAGGAGGCAATAGGAAAGACAGATCCTCAGAGGAAGCCATCAGAGAATCACACTTCCCAGCACCTTCATCTTCTCTCAACCTCAGATCCCATCATCAACGGGAAGCATAAACATCTGGAAGGCCCATCAATGTTGCAGCTCTTCTAGGCCTCTGGTTTTACTGCAGGGACACTGGACACCAGGGCCCACCCATCCTTTAAGGCACAGACCAGGCTCCATTTATGACACATTCTCCAGGTCCTCAGGGTCTGTAGCCTGTAGTTAGCTCTCAGGTGTCACAGACATCTAGTAACTGCTGAGACCTATCCATCTAGTTTTAAGGGGAAGAGCCCCAGCTCTTGGCATTGAGTACCATGCAGAGAAGGTCCTACAGGCTTCCAGTCAGTGGGAACCTGCCCTTCCCCTCCCCATCCCATCCTCAACACCACCCCACTCCCTGCTTACCTGTGTCATGGAAGCCCAGGTCTCGAGGAGGTTTCCCGTTTGTAGCCTCAGTGTTAGCCACGCCATCCTTCTAAGGACCAAAAAAAAAAAAAAGTCCTAAGCCTCTTGCCCTGACTCCAAACCCCAATCCTGTCATCTAGTGGGGTCAACAAGAAGACAGGGCTTCCTGACACCACATGGAAGGGAATCTGTGTCAATTACAGTGGTTCTACCATCCCTTGACCCCCACCCCCACCCCCCAGCAAGTGTTGTAGTCTGATGGCCCCAGCAGAGATGCTCAGTACATCAGCCTGGGTTGAATAAGAAATTCATGGAGTCCCCGCACCCCTTCCCCAACAAGGAATCTGCCTCTTTCCTGCTCACTCCACCTCTGGTAGGTGGTCCTGCTGCCTTGAGCAGGTGACCACAAGAGGTTGCTCTCCCTCTGAAGGCTTCCCCTCTGGAGCTCCAGGAAGATGCAAAAGGGAACCCAAGCTGCTGCAGCCCCCAGGTCCCTGAGGCTGGATTCCAAAACCTGTGAGCTCAAAACTGCACGCCATCAGCCTGCAGCTGCAAACAGGAGTCCTAGAGAAAGCACATGCCTTCTTGCGGCCGGTCTTGCGGGGTCGTGGCTTGCTCTTGGTGAAGCAGATGTTGTGCTTGGTGGACTTAAAGGACTCCAGCCGCCGCTTCATGTTCTGCTGGAAGACTTCCTTGTCCTGGCGTTCCTGCGCGTCCTCAGAGATGAAGTGGCGGCTGCAGCTGGCTTTGTACTGGCAATGACAACCCCACCCTGCCATGAGGCTGGGTGTCCTGCCTCCCACAGGAACCCCACGTCACAGCCCCAAGTTCACCATAGCTCCTGCCAGCCTGCTGTTTCCAGAACTAGCCATGGAATGAAAAAAACTTAAAAATACAATAGAGACCCAGCCAGACTCTATATTCTCAGTTCTTTATCCCAGAACCTACTCCCTCAAATCTGGCTTTCCTTATCCCCTCTTGCCCTCTCCCAGTTTTCTCAGACGTGAAGTGACAAGAGACAGGGGATCCTGTGTCCTGTCCTCAGGACTACCATGAAACCAAGGCAGGCATTTCCTTCTTTGCACCTCAGTTTATCTGAGCCTAGTCCACATGCCTGACCCATTTGCCTTCTTGTGACTACACAGGACTCTGTCCAGCTGGCCCTCCCTACTTAGCCCTTTCTGCAGCCGCCACCATGACTCAGGCTGCAGGAACTTCTGTGACTATCTCTTGCCACCTTGGACCCTCTCAGTCCAACCATACCTGTGCCCAACTCAGGACCACCCCATCATCTGCTCTTTCTAACTCTTCCTCATAAAGATCAAGCCCACTACACCCTCACCTAACCTGTCTCCACCTCTGGCCGTGACTGCTTAGCAGCCTTTTCATTGCCTCCTGGTAATTTCCCAAAGTACCACCTGCGTGTTCCCAATCATTCTTGTCCAGCCGCACACCCCCAGGCTGGTCTCTTTCCTTTGCCCTTCATATTTTCTGCTTCCCTCAGCTGGATCTAAGAATCCCCTTTAAGTGTCCTCCCAACTGCCCTCTTCTACACACTCATGCAGAGGTGCCCCTCTCTCCCTTGAGTGGGGGTGGATGGGTACAGAAGCCCAGCTCCTTCACAGGGCTCTTCACTCCCCACTCCCTGCCTCCATCAGTTCCCTTCTTCTCCATCAGTTCCTCCCTCCCAGTCCTCCACTCTCCTGCATCTTCAATCCTTCCCTGGCCACTGGCTCCCTGCCTCTGCTTTTAGACCTGTTCCTGCCCTTACCTCCTTGAAAAACGCCTTTCCATTGACACCATTGCCTTGCTTTTGCTGCTAAACCTTTACACTTACATTCTGACACTTCCCCTAGTACCCATTAATTCACTGAATGTCAGAGATACAGCTGGGGTGGGAGCAAGGGGGGTTGCCTGACTGCAGCCCCACTATGCAGCTTTCTGCCGGGTCATCAGTACCTTGGCCTCTGGTTAGGCAACATCTGTGCAAAGTCCAGCCCTCCTCTTGCCCCAGGCCTCCGAGGCAGCTATGAGGGGCATCAGCTACTGCCCCTCCAAAGGCTCCTTCTCTCTCCTCCTCTGCTGGCTCCCCTTCCTTTTCTTCCATGTGCATTCCCCAGCATTATCCTTGGCCCCCTCTCCCATCTCAATGCCCTCCCCAGTGAAAGTATTGACTCTCTCAGTACCAGCCAGCCCAGTGATAAATCTGTGCTTCCCAGACACCAGCCATCAGACCAGCTGCATTTCAACCCCCTCAAGGGGCTTATTAAGAGCAGATTCCTCATCCCATTCCACTCAACAGAATCAGACTCTGCAGGAGGTGAAGCCAGGAATATGTATTCTAGTAAGCTCCCCAGGAGATTCTGATGTAGCCAGGCCAGGAAACCGCTGCTGTAGATTGCTTCCAAGTCTTTTTATCTCCAGCCTGTCTCTCTCTCTCTCTTAAACTATCATCTTATGTTTCTAACTGTATACCAGACACTTCTGTCACTAATGATATTTCTGTGAAGAACATGAAGAATTATGGATTGCGTGCTGGCATAACTAAGTGGATTTAGAGCTGGTTGAGTAACCATACCCCCAAAATTCTTGATCCAGATCAGTCTGGAGGAAAGTCTTTAGTAGCAGACCACAGGGCTCTGTCCTCAACTCTATCCTGTTCATTTTTATGTTGATTTTGATGAATACAGAGTTAACAGGCTTAACAGAATTTTATATGATGTGAATCTGAGGAGATTTTTGGTGACCGACATGGTATCCAAACGATGGAATGATGGGCTAAATCAAATAAGATGACATTTAACAGTGATAAGCACAACCATAATCCAGGTGTTTTTTTAGTCGACTACACAAGAACTGGTTGGACCAAACCCATTGACCAAACTTACATACACACACACACACATCAACAGCCAGCCAATCATTATGTATCAGTACTTCCTAATGTAATATAATAATACAGCTGTCAAATGTTGCTGAATACAACCAGGCCTCTAGATTGAACTACCAAGAAATACAGGGTACCAAGGATAACATGTCAGATACCACCTCTGGAATACAATCAGCAAAATCTGTAAAATGGAGAATTTTCTAAGATGATCTATCCAGTTTCTTCAGTAAATAAATAAAAAGGAGGGAAAAAAGGAAGAAGAAACTATTACAAATTTAAAAAAAATAAAATAAAAAGACATACTTACTAAAAATGCAAAGTGTGGACTTTATTTGGATCCTGACTTGAACAAACCAGATGGAAAAAGATATGTATTGAACTCTGAGTGGATATTTGAGGTGAGGTGAGAAGGAATCACTGTTACTTGTTGTATGCGGTAATGGTACTATGGCTTTTTTGAAAAAAAAAAAAAAAAGAATTCTTGCCATCTAGAAATACATGTGGAAATATTTAGAGATGATATTCTGGAGTTTGCTTTAAGATAATAAAGTGTAGATAGGGTGTAAGGGGGAATTATTGGAACTGAGTGATGGTTAAATGAGTTTCTTTATCCTCTCTAGTTTTGTGAATGACTGAAATTTTCTATAAGAAAAAGTAACCAAAACCGAAAAACAAACAAAAACTCCACAAGTTGGATGAGACAGGGTTTCACAGTCATTAACTGAGGAAGACATTGGGGGTGGGTTGTCTGATTGTACGAACAGTGTGAGGTCTCAGGGTGATGAGCCAGAGCTGGAGGGATCCTGGGCTGCGGGAAGAGAAAGGCAAGTTCCATAACTAGAAAGGTTAAAGGTCCCCTGTGCCTGGCCCTGGCCAACCACAACTAGCATAGCACCTTCTATCTGGGGCCTCTTTGGCCACGGCTTTCCAGTGAAAGCCTGGAATCCTAACCACTAGTCCATCATAGAATTCCTAGGGGCCTTATTTCTAATGGCTGAAGAAGACACATCAGGGACAGAAGCTGCTGGCCTGAAGGCAAGAAGGCCTCTGTGTGAAAGGAAGCTGTTTTGACATCTTTGCAGGCTTTTGCTCTGCAGAGGTGCAGAGAGTCAAATCAGGCCCAGAGGGAGCAAATTAAAGGGAAAGAATTCCTGTCTCTCTAGAAAGGGCCTTGACTGTTAGAGCTGCCAATGGTCACAGCTGGCTTCTCATTTCAGAAAGGTTCAAGGTAATGGCTTGCTGCCCCCTTGCGGGGTTGCAGCGGATTCCTGCCTGGATGGGTTGGACCTTTCCAACCCCGAGGCTTCACAGACCTGCACGGGACTCACTCATGTTACCTAAACTGGATGTCTGCCTCCCCCAGGTTAAGCTGCTCCCACAGGCCTCCTTGGCACTCCTGCTTCTGTCTGTGACCCCCATCAAGCCCTCTGTACCTCCTCTCCCCTTCCTTGCTGATTTCACAGTCCTATGTGCCCCCTCTTCCTTCCAGCCACCCAGCTCTAATCTGCAGTGTTTCACTCCAGCTTCCCAACTGACTCTCCTGGCCTCTCAACTCACCCCGTCCAATTAGATCTGCTCTCTGCTACCAGGGAAGACATCCTTAAACCATCCTTGTAACAAGCCAACCTTTCTCAAAACAACAACAAAAAACCCCCAAAACTAAAGGTTATAACCAACAAGATGAAGCCCACGCTCTTCAACTGGGCATCTACAGCTCTCCACAAGCTGGGGCCAGTTGCCTCTGGAGCCTTGGATCATGGCCTCCCCAGACCTCGCTCCCCCTCAGGACTCAGAGGCCCTGCCTGCTCTCACCCTGCGGCGCGGCTTGTAGAGGCCTCCGCAGAGCAGGTGGTGCATCGCGGCATCCTCCCGGTCCCGGCCGCTGCGCACCGTGTCGATCACCTGCAGATCCAGACACGCTCCACTGCCGCTCTCCCTCCTGCGGGCGGCGGGGACACGCGTGCTGGGGCGGGGCCGGGAGGCGTGGCCCGGGGGACGGGCGGAAGCAGAGGTGCTCACGGATCTTCCCCAGAGGGATTCAGAGAGAGGCCCCAGTAGGGAGGAGCCTGGGGAAGCGGGAGAGGGCTCCAGGACTTACAGCAGGTTGGTGACGGAAGTCTCTGCCATGGAATTACGGCTGGGCATAGAGGGCAGAGTGAGCCCAGTGGAGGACAGGACGTGGCCTCCCTGCAGGAGCCATGTCAGAGGTCAGATGGCAATCAGATGAAGGTGGCGCAGACAGAGGGGAACAAAAGGAATAACACCGGTTAACACACTTTGCTCTCTGGATGTTCCAGGGACTGCGCTAGGTGCTTTTTTATACTGCACCTACAAAACTCTGTGACAGAGGTACTCTTTACTGTCGCTTTCTTACAGTTGAGGACACCGAAGCTCAGAGAGGATAAATGACTTACCCAAGGTCACAAGCCTTAGATGATAACAATCTGAACCACGTCTGCTGATGCCAGAGTCCAGCTGTCTCCCACCTTTCTGCACTGCCCACTAGAATCTAAATGTCAGCGTCAAGCCGGGCTCATTCCTGTAGCTGCCACTTCACAAGTCCATGGAGTCTACTGGGAATTCCCAACTCCCTGCTCAGGGCCTGCCTGCCTGCTTGTCACCGCTTCCTGCCTTGCCCTGCTGGCCACCCGCCCATTCTCCATTGTCTGCTGGCCCACCTGATCCACGAAGCTGATGGCGTCCCGGATGTTGAGTCTGTAATACACATCCCAGATCTGGTCCCGGATGCGGTAGGCTGAGCGCCGCATCAACAGCTGACTTAGGTACTTCTTATCAAACTGCTCCCACCTACAGAGGATGCCAGGCCCAGTCCTGAGTGCTGGCACTTCCTCAGACAGGGCTGGGGCACTGCCAGTGCGGGGCCCACGTCTCTTGGTGTGGGCATCGGTCAGGGAGAATCTGGAAGCTGGTCCCTGCCCTTATGGAACTGACAGTGCCTGACACTGATGAAGTTATGACATGTAACTATAAAATTGCAACCATGACAGGAACTACAAAGGATAATTGTAGAGTATAATGGGGATTTGTCCTAGTCAGGGAAGCCTCCCTAAGGACATGATGCCTGTGGTAATATCTGAAGGATGAACAGAGAGGTTAAGGAAGCAAGATAGAGGGCAGGGAATGTTCTAGTAGAAAGAACAACATGTGCAAAGGTCCCGCTGGCCAGGGCAGGGGGAGCATGGTGGGTCCTGAGTTTCTAAAACAGGGTTTATTTCGTTGGCAGGCCGAGAGTCAAAGTCACAGCGGAGCACAAGTCGGCTGGAGTCTGGAGGTGCCAGACCACGCAGGGCAGGGCCGGGCAGGCCTCGCTCGGGAGCCTTATCTCATCCTGAGAGTACGGGGACACCAGCCCTGCCTGAGGAGCTTCAGGGACAGGTCGCCCAGCCTGCGCCTGGCTGCGTCCCTTCTCAGAAGTGTGGCATGTCCCCCATGCTGCCCTGGCTGGGGCTGCTGGGGAGGGGTGCTGCTGCTGCTGCTGCTGAAGGAGCCTGGAGGCAGCTCCCTCACCTGTCCCTCCAGTAGTGATAGCCATGGTGGCCCACAACGTCCTCCACTGCAGCCAGAATGTGGTCAAAAGTCTAGAAGGGGGGTGGGTAGGGGGACCAGATCAGGACTCTGCTCAGAATAGGAGAAGGGAGAGAGGGACAGGTGGGGGGATGGGGTTCTGGTACCCACGTGCTCATGCAGCTCCTGGTTCAGGGTGGGTTTGTGATGCTCACTCCTCTTCACCTTCAGCCACTTGACCAGTGGCTTGATGGTCAGGCCCTATGGACAGGCAGCCGGTGAGCCCTGCCCTGGCCAGTTGTCTGCTGCCTTTCTTTCCCCACGGTTAGGCTTCAGCTTCTGTATCTCCACCTCACTGCTCTCAAAGTCTGGGAAGTCAAGCCCCTGCAGCCCCCAACAGGAAAAGGAGCCCCTCTCCCATAGGCTCCAGGCCTCCCCAAGGGCCTGCCAGACCCTCTTCCCATCCAGCCTCCTGGGCACTCCCACCTGCACGATGACTGTGAAGAAGACCACCACAATCGTGGTGGCTACAAAGTAGTCCTTGGCAGGGACCTTGGTCCTGTCCAGGAGGATGACGAGAGCGAAGGCCACAGCCCCCCGCAGGCCCCCATAGGACATCACCACCTGGTCAATCTTGTCCAAAGGGACCAGCCGGAACTGATTCAGCACCCACGTCTGCAGGACTACGCCTACAGCAGGAGGGAGGCCAGTGGGAGCAGGGTGTTGGGAGTGGAGGGCACTGGGTGCAGCTGGCACCCGGTATCAGGGCTCAGGTCTGAAGGGCTGGGAGGGCTGAGCAACACAGGGAGGACAAGGATGTGGACTCAGAGTGCGAGATGAGCTGGGGTGGGGGGGCAAGGGCAGGGAGGATAGGAAAGCATGGGGTGCCAGCTATACCGAGGGCTCGGAAGAACAGGATGAAGAAGAGGGTGCCCAGCACCAGCCCAGAGTCCCAGGCCCACTTGGAAGAGTCCACGGCCGAGATGCCGAGCAGCATGAAGATGACGGTCTCCGCACAGCTGGCTAGAGTCTTCATGGTGTACTTGACAGCTGTGCGGGACTTATGGGAGATGTTGGCCTCCACATACTTCTTACAGCCCAGGCCACACATGGTCACCCTGGGAGAGGAATGGAGAGTCAGAGCAATGAGCAGGGGCTGCAGGAAGCACAGCCTCTGGGGTCTGAGCATGCACAGGAGAGGGTGTTGCCCATCACAGGATGTCACACTCAGAGCCAAAGCGCAGAGAAGCATGGAGCCCGTCCAAGGATAGGTAGTGGTAGTCCTGGGATAAAAGGGTCGGAATCGCCAGGCTTCCCACTCAGTGCCTTCTGGAGGGGAAGGTGGGGAAAACGTGATCTGACTAGCACAGATTGCCTGAAGCACCTTTTGGAGTTCTGTGGCCACCAGAGCCATGGCACCAGGCCTCAAAGTCTACTTCTGGCTCAGCCCACACCCCAGAGAGCACTTTAGGCAGGGAAAAATTGGGTTCTGAGGGCCCAGGACAGTTCTAGAGGTGAGTCCTGTAATGTTCCCTGAGGTTTAGTGTCTCCCCTGGGAAACTTGAAGCTCCCCCTCAAACTCAAACCTATGGACTCCTCAAGGTCCTGCTCCTGTCTGTGTGAAGGGCAACCATCTCCAGCACCCCCTCCCAGCTGCCTGCGTGCTCAGCACCCCCAGGACTCACGCAAGAATGGCAGAGAGCGAGGCCATTTCAGCGGTAAGGTAGGCTGCGTAGGCGAGGAGGAAGACCAGCAGCGGCTCGATGATGCGGACCCGCTTGGTGAAGCGTGTGGTCAGGGCCAGGAGGAAGGCAAAGACTAAGCCCACGGCTGCCCCGCCCAGACTGACCACAAACAAGGAGGCTGGGGGAGGAGTGGTTTGTCAGCACGACCCCTGGCCGGGACCCCTCCCGGGCCAAGACTGCTGCCTGGCGGGGAGTGGAGGAGGATGCCCACCATGCTCCCCAGGGGTCAGGATAGCAGGAAAGCCCCTCCTTCTCGGGTTCTCAGGGCCCTGTTTCTCCGTGGAGGAGGGAAGGGAGGAATGAGGCACCCCAGCAGCATCCTCTGTCCAGACGCAGTGGGGGAGGGGCTCAGCAACCCGAGGGAGGCAGCCTCCAGTGCCCGCTGAGAGGGGGGAGATACTGACCGACTCCCTTCAGGTAGTCAGTGGCCCGCACGTTGGCAGAGCCCATCTCCACAAAAGAGTTGCAGACCTTGTACAGCACCTGAGTGAGAAGTGGTGCATCAGGAGTGATGACGGGGGAAGGCGGAGACCAGATTTCTTCCCCAGGGGATCCGGGGAAGGGTCTGAGCCTGGTCAAAAGCATGGCAGCCTGGGATCGAGGAACGGCAGCCCAGTGCGCACTCTCACCACGGTGACTGCATCGTTGAGCAGGGACTCGCCAAAGACGATGATAAAGAGGGTCTCGTTGACGTGCACCTCCTCAAAGACAGCCAGCACAGCCACGGGATCCACTGCTGAGATGAGGCTCCCGAACAGCAGGAAGTCCAGCAAGCCAGCCTGCACTCTAGGGGCTTTTGAGGGACAGCAGACGGTGAGGTACTGAATTGGCTATAGCAGCCCCAGAGACAGGCCCAGACTGTTGAAACAAGGATGCCCCAAGAGGACTTGGGACGGCGAAGAGTGCGTCAGCCTGCAGGTCAGGAGACCTTAGGTCTTGAGCCTAAGGACTGCCTTTGCCGCTTACCCACTCTATGACATTGGCAATGTCACTGCCACCTGACTTCTCATAAGCCATACCTCCTCATATGCCTGCCTAACAAGATTGCTGCAGAAATCAACCAGGGAAATGGCTACAAAAGCTCTGTGTAACCTGGAGAGCTAAGATGGCACTGACAAGAAAAAACTTAGCAACAGCAATAATAACCACCATCAGGTGGAAATAGGCTGCTGACTGGCTTTATTAGGAGAACAAAAGAGTGTCGTCTCCCACATCGTAGTTCTCAGCCTAAGGAAGGCAACAATTCTCAGCAGGAGGGGGAGGGGCTATCCATCCACAAGGGCTGAATACAATATGAAAAGCACCCACCATTGGTGGGACTCGAACATCCCATGCAATCTCTGTGAACCTCAGTTTCCACTTGTACATGCTGAGAATAATAATAGTGTCTACCTCAGAAAGTTTCTTATTGAACCAGTACCTATACATAGTAAGCACTATACTACACATAGTAGTTATTACCTATTACTAGGATTACTATGATTATGGGCTGATGTCCTCCCCTCCCTTCCTGCCCCCAAAGAGTTCACTGACCCCATAGAAAAACCAGGTTGGAGACCTGAGTGGAAATTGCAAACCTCCCCTTGCCCCTGGGAAGAAGTCTGAATCATCAACTTTCAGGGTTGAATGGGTTTGGGGCCCAGAAAATGAGAAAGAAGGGAGCAGAACAGGGCAGCCTGAAGGCAAAGAGCTCTCCTGCTAACCTTGGACCTGATATCAAATGAGTTTAAGGGCCTCTATTTCCTCGTCCATTAAATGGGACAAATGATACCCCCAGCAAGGTTAATATGAAGAGCCAGTGGGATGAGCAAAGAGAGAACACCCAGTGTAGTGTCTTGCATTCTGCAGATGTATGATATGTATTTATTAAGATAATAAAAACAGAAAACCACCCTGATGTGACCTGGGCAGAGCCCTCAAAGGGATGTTGAGCTGTGCCTCAGGGGAGCCAGGCTGGCAAGTGGCAGTGTGGTAACAGAGGGCAGGAAGAAGCAGGGTGATAATGCAGGCTCCCCAGCCTTGGCAGCCCACGCACAGCTGGGAGCCAGGCCCCTACTCAGCTGTCATCTGCAGAAGCCCAGACTCATCTGGCAGAGACCTAAATGAAGGCTGCAGGCCCATCTGGAGCACTGCCCAGTTGGGAGGGACCTAAGATGGAGGTCTCAGGGCATGGCTCTTATCAACAAAGGATCTTCAGAGCTGGAGGAGAAGGGAGCTGGGGAAGGAATCTGGCAAAGCCCCCCACGGCTGGTCCACGTCTTAGAGTCACTCACCCACAAGTCCAGCCTGCTGCAGGCCCCAGAGGGCAGCACCCGTTGTGAAGGCATTCCAGAGTGTGCCCACCACGGCATAGGTGAGGATGGCGCCCAAATTGTCAAAGAACAGCCGGCTGGGCATGAAATAGCCCGAGTCCAGCACAATAGGAGGCAACAAGAAAAGGAAGAAGGTGCCTGGCTCCAGCTGGTACTCCGCTTTCTTGGCCACAGCCAAGACAATGCCCCCCAGTGCCAGTCCCAGCAAAATCAGCAGACAGCTCTCAGGCACCAGAGACGTCACCTTCCGAGACAAGTGAAACACTACAACACAAGAATAGGGCGGGAGGTATCGTCAACTTATGAAGCGCGCGCACACACACACACACACACACACACACACGCACTGGCCTATAGCCTTCCAGTCTTAGACATTTATTCAAGGTCAGGACCCCCAATCCTGGGGCCAAGGAAGAAGAAATTCAGGATTGCTAGAATCTCCAGCCTCCAGAGCTTCAAACTCTCCACTGCAGCCACAGTTGTCTATTTCTTAGTGCTCCTGTCATGGTAACTTAGGTCTCTGCTTACTTTTTCCACTTCTGAAAATACCCCATCCTCTCTACTGTCATCCTCAAAGGACCTCACCTTTTTCTGCTCTCCCTTATCCATTGCCGTTATTTGAACCTCAGCAAATACGAGGTACATTTTTATGCATAACATCGTTCTAAAAATTAGGGCCTGTGGAGTCAGTCTCTCTGGGTTCAAAGCCTAGGTCTTTCATTTATCAGTTCTGTGACTTTGAAGCAAATATCTTCACTTTTTTTTTTAATTGTTGGGCCGGGTGTTAGTTGAAATACGAAAAATCTCTAGTTGTAGCATGAGGGGATCTAGTTTCCTGACCAGGGATGGAACCCAGGCCCCTGACACTGGGAGCTCGGAGTCTTAACACTGGACAGCCAGGGAAGTCCCAGTCCCTTTTTGACTTGCAGTTTTTTCATCAGTAAAATGAGAATAAAGACAGTACTGATCTCGTAGGATTGTTGCAAGGTTTAAGTAATACGATCTGCTCAAAAGCAGTTAGCCTAGTGCTTTGTAGTAAGTGCTCTATAAATGTTACCTTTTATTCTATTATTGTGTCCTGCCCTAGATCATAATGCATATTATACCTCCTAGGAGTACAGCAGATCTCCTAGCCCTGTGTGCTTTTTCATTATGTAGGCTCACTAAGGGCTCAGTAGTTTTAGAAGCAATAGACTTAGCAGTTAGACCTCCACTTCTTCTTGTGGCTCCATCCTATCCTAATTGTGTGATCTCAGGCAAATTATTTAAATTCCTGAGCTTCAATTTCTTCTCCTGTAATATGGGGAAAAATAACCTTCACAGGGTGAGGATAAAAATGATATAGTGTGAAGGTGCCTAGCAGAATGTCAGACACATAATAGGATCTCAACAAATGTTAATTCAATATGATTCTGGGGGGAAGTAATAACATATCTGACCCATGGAAAGAAGAGGAGGTATGGAATGATTTTCTAGCACTATTGCCACTCCTACCTTTGCCTCATCATATAAACTCTTTGGGCTTTCGATTGGGCCCTGGGCCAGGTGAGCTCCTCTCCGCAAACAATCCTTGGAGTGGTGGGTAGTTAGGGACACCTAACACCTTGGTGTTAGGCTGTATGAGACACAATGCTAAGACAGTGCCCTTTGGAAGCTGTACCCAGAGAGCCTAGGACAGTGCCTGGCCTGTGGTGGGATCTACCTAAATATTTGGTGAATAAAAGGGAAAAAAAATCCTAGCAATGAAGCTGGGGGAAGGTATTTATGAACATTCTACCTATCTCTCCCCACCCCTAATCCCAAGGATTTTTTTTTTTTTTTGGTTGATGAGAAAAAGGCTCTCTTCAACCTCTTCAACCTCCATAGGAGATGTCATCCAAGCTAGAAAAAGAACTATGATTTATGAGGAAACTACAGCCATTGCTGTAAACCCTAAATAAGACAGGAACTCTCCACCTGGCAGACTTCTCAGCAGACCCAATTTTGGTTCCTAGATCTGAGGCTCCTCCTACCTTGCTCTCATTGCTGCCAGGCCCTAAGGTGAGCTCAGCCACAGCTCTCCCCACACTCAGCCCTACCTCTGGTCCGCCTCTCCTCTCCTTCAGGGACCTTATTCCATCCTTATCTCCAGAGCATGCATTAATCCCAGCACTGCAATCCAAAACCCTTCACAAAAGCCTGTTCTCTGACAGAACTAGGCTCCTTGAAGGCATATCAAGCCCCATTTTCCATTATTAATGGGCTGCCACAGCAGAGTGGAGAGCTTGTCTGTTCCTGCCCAGCCCCCACTCCCAACTGTGTCCCTGGGGGAAGAAGGGGGCAAACTCTAGACGGCGCGATTCCTATGTGAAGACTGTACTGGTGAGACTGGGAGTACAGACTGTGCCAGCTTAGATGGGGAGTGAGTAGCAACGGCTCAGCTATAATTAGTCACCCCCTCAGCGCAGGCTGCACAACAGGGAGAGGGAGGAGGGTCTCTGGTGGGAGGAGGGACCACTGGCTGCTCAGAAGTGGGGAGGAAGGGGCAGAGGCGAGGAAAAGCAGCTCTATTCAAGGAAAGGAGCCTGAAGCACAGCTCTCAGTACTGTGCAGACTGAAGGAGATTGAATGTGTGAAAGCCTCTAGGGCAGGCAGCACATAGTAAGGCCCAATAAATGGAAGTTTCCCATACCCTTAAGTGGGAAGAGGTAGACTTGAATTGGAAGGGGCGTGGGGGCGTGGGGGCGTGGGGGGGGGGAGACACAGCTGGGCACAAGAAGGGGACATCTTTAGGGGATGGGGGGGATAGAGGAAAAGTGGCATTTTAGCATCCCAAGAGAATGGACATTTGGAGGTGGCCTCCAGGGAAGGCTGCTTCCTCGGGACCTGGATGCTGGGGTTTGCCAGAGACTACTATCACCTCAATGTCCCACACGCCCTGACTGCTGACAGGGGCTGGGGATTGGTGGAGGGGAGCCCAGACCAAAGAGCTGACTGCAAGGAGAAGAGGGGAAAGAGAGGACAAATTAGGCTAGGGATGGGGTTGGAGAGCGCAGGGGCAGCCCTCTGAGAAGGCAAATCCTCAGGGCTCCCACGCGAGAAGGGGAGGAGGGGGATCCACAAGAGGAGGCGCAGAGACAAGGTGAGAGCCCGGATTTGCGGAATCGGAACCTAAAGTCGGGGCACTCTGCAAAAATCCGGCCCGGATATGGGGACTAGGGGTTGGGGGCGGGTCCGCTGCCCGCCGCCGGCCCTGGCGCACGCACACACGCACTCACCGATTTTAGCCAGGCTGGCCACCAGGATCCAGAGGGCTACCAAGTAGGGCGCCTCCACCTCGTGCCATTGCCAGCGGAAGAGCGCCAACCCTGGGGGAGGCTCACCCGGCGACCCCGGCTCCTGGGTGGGTTTTTCGGTCGCTCCTGCCCCCGTCAGGGGCAGCCCGAGCAGCGGCAGTGCGGCGCGCAGCATCCTGCCGCCTGCCTAGCAGCCCTCCAGGCACCGCACGGCGGCCGGCCCCGCGTCGCCGCCGCCGCCTACCGGCCTCCCCCGCGTCACAGGCACGTGGGGTCCGCTCCCCCCAATCCCGGCTCGGATACCCCCAACCCAGGTCCGGACTCCGAGACCCTGTCCCGGGCGTCCGTACTCCGGACACCTGCCCCTCCGCTCTAAACCAGTCTCGACTCTGGAAATCCCCCAGTGCAGCCCTCCCCCACAAGCCCTGCAACCTAGTCCTTCAAGCCCGCTCCCTCAAACCCTCCCCAAACCTCCCCCGATCCGTATTCAGAGCTGTGAGCGGCCACAGTCCCCAAGGGGCACCGCGGAGTCCCACCCGCCGGAGGCGACAGCCAGTCGCGAGAGTGACGGGGGTCTGCCGGGTGGCGGGGTTCAGGCGAGAGGAGGGCGGCCCCGCCACGGAGAGTGCGGTCGGCGACTGGCGGCCGGCCCCGGGTATCGAGGCCGCGGACCCCAACGCTGCCCCGCGCAGACTGCAGGGGGCAGTGCGCCGTCGCCTTCAGCTCAGCCCTCGGGAGCCTAAGACCCCTTCGGGCCCCGCTCTCAGACCAGAGCTGCGCACGCGCACTAGGCCTTTTTAGAAAGCCGTGAGGGACAACTGTCCCCGTCGTCCCCAGAAACCCCAAGGCCCAGATTGGGCCGAGTTCATATCAGGCTGAGGAGGAGTCTCTTCCTCTTCATTCACCAAATCTAGGGGCAACCGGCCTCCCTTTCCCTTAAACTACAGTGAACTCTTCTCACCCTTTCCATGAGACAATGAAGAGAACGTATCTTCTTCCCTAAACTACGAAAACCAGCCTATCGATTCCCTTCAAACTAAAAGGAATTCACTCAACCTTTTTTCCCAAACCTGAGGAGGCATTCGGCTTATCCCGCCCTAAACTGAAAAGGACCGTTTCCCCTTTTCATTGAAGTACAACCCATCCCTGTTCTTCCCCCAGATTGAGGGTAACGTGTTCTACCTCGCGGCCAAACTGAGTCGTTCTATCCTTTTCCCAGAATTAAGAGCACCCGTCCCTCTTTCTCCTCCAACTAAGGGTAAATCATCCCACCTCCTCCTTTGAATTGAGTGTAATATATTTTCACTTCTTGCTCCAAACTGAAAGGGACCCATCTCCCTGCTTCCTCCAAACGAAGGACGCCCATCCACTTCATACCTCAGCTGAAAGAAATCAGACCTTCAGGTCCCTAAACCTAGGCGGACCTGGCGGGCCACGATCTGAAGAAACTTCCACCCCTTCTTGCCCTAGCAGTCTCTCAAGAGAGCACAGCCTCACCGCCCCCAAGCCCACAGAAAGCCTCTCGGCGCTCTGCGCTCTCTCGCAGTGGGTGGGGGGACGCGTGAGCTCGGGTTTTCCCGGGACTAGCCTGTGAACTAACGGGACCACGATCACGCCCTCTGAGTGACTGGCTGCAAGTTCCACCAACCGCAGTACGCCCCCGACCCCGCGCGTCCGGAGACTAGCATTGGCTCCACCCCCTTCCTCGGCCCCGCCTCCGTATGGCCCCGCCCCTCTTCCTCGGCGTCCGCCCGGCCCCGCCTAGACAGAGAAGTAGTTGACTAGAAGCGGCGGCGCGGCCGGGACCCGCCCGGAGGGAGCCAGTGGCGGAGCCATGGCGGGCGAGGAAGACCGCGGGGACGGGGAGCCTGTATCACTGGTGACCGTGCGGGTGCAGTACCTAGAGGACACCGACCCTTTCGCATGTGCCAACTTCCCGGAGCCGCGCCGGGCACCCACCTGCAGCCTGGACGGGGCGCTGCCCCTAGGCGCGCAGATACCCGCCCTGCACCGCCTGCTGGGGGCGCCGCTCAAGGTGAGGGGAGCCGGAGAAAGACTAGGGGCGACTGATGGTTCAGGGTCGACTCCATGAAAGCTTTTGGGAGCCTCTCGAGGAGAGGCTGAAGCAAGCGGGTGCGCTCCTCGGGGAAAGATTTGGGCTGGGCACCCAAGGTCCCACGTTGCCCGGCTGGTGGGAAACGCATTTCGAGTTGAGGGAAACTGAAGAAGGGAGATGAAAGCTTGTACTCTGCGGCACCCAGGCTGCCCTTCGAAATGAGGCCCACCTGGGGAGGCGCTCGGGGTCCGCTCCCTGCCCGCCTGCTGTGCATGGGGGGGTAGCCTGAGCGTTTGGGTGGTAGCGGTCCCAGAAGACGCATCTGAGGATGGACCAGCTTTCACCTGCTTTAGGTGAGGTGGGGGCGGGATCACGAGGAGGGGCGGGCCCGGGGCGGGCCACTGGAGGTGTCTTGAGGCAGGATTGGGTCCTGCCGGATTGAGTGTTGTCCGTGGCGGGTGAGGCCCCAGTAGGGAGTGCCGGCGGAGATGAGACCACGGGGTTAGGGGAGTTCCCTGGAAGCGGCCTGGTCCGGGACATCCTGAGCGCGGGAGGCTGCACTGGTGGAAAAGCCCTTTAAGTCACCGCCCCCACCATCTCCGCAGACGCCGCCGGCCGGGGGCTGGAAGGGAAGGAGAGATCCGGGCTAATTTTAAACCGTCGGCCTGCCTTAGTTTGCCTGCACCCCAGAGCCTACTCGTGCATGGTGCCGGGAGAGGCCCTTTTGCAGATGGCCCGCCCTACCTCCCCTCCTGCTCGCCGCGCTCAGCCCCCCGCAGGCGGCCCTTTCCGGCGCACTTGGTTTCCGGGCCAGGACTCTGGAAGGCACACCACCACCTCCCGGGGTGCCTCGTCATCCAGTCGGCACCAGGTGGTGAAGTGAGAGTGGAAGTGTCCTCCCTTGCTCCCAGGCTTAGCTGGGCGCCGAGTTGCGCAAACTTGCCCCCTGGGCCTGGGGTCTCCCCTGGAATGTGCCCCAGGCGCCAGGCCCCCAGCCTGCATTCCTAGCGCTGCGGGCCTGCCCCGCCTCCGGGCGCGGGCGGGAGAAGCGCTGAGACTCGGCCTGGGGAGTGGCGCGTGTCTGAGCAGAGCTCAGGCTTCAAGGACAAGGATTGAAGATAGCAGCGCATTGCCCTCTCCAGACTTTTGATGTGACCCCTCCTTGTTCTGCCCTGTTCAAAGGAACAGACCGAAGTGGACCTGAAAGAAACACCTCCAGCCAGAAACCACCTCCCATTCAGATTGGGCGCTGGGGAGAGAGAGGTGTTCCTCAGTTCAGAGGAACCTGAACTGAGGCCAGGTTCCTGCCTCCAGACTCCTGGAACTCCTAGTACTGAAATAAGCCTGGAGCACGGCAGGGAACATAGTATTCCTCCCATCCCCCGCCACTGGAGGACACAGCTTAGCCCTAACACCCCTTCTCCAATTAGGGGCAGGTTTGGAGAATTACCCCTTACCTCTCCCTGTCATTTAGAGACCCATCACCACCACCCCCTCACCAGGTGCTCTGCCCTCTGTTCTCTGCTCCCTAGCTGAGAACTGGGATTAACATGCTGTGTGTGTGTGTGTTTGTGTGTATGTGTGCGCGCGCGCATGTGCGCGCGCGTGCTCAGGTGTGTGTGCGCGCGCGTGTGTGCGCGCGCGTGCTCAGTTGTGCCCAGCTCTTTGCGACCCCTTGGATTGTAGCCTGCCAGGCTCCTCTGTCCATGGCATTTTCTAGGCAAAAATACTGGAGCAGGTTGCCATTTTCCTACTCTAGGGCATCTTCCTGACCCAGGGATCAAACCCTCATCTCTTGTGTATCCTGCATTGGCAGGTGGATTCTTTTACCACTGCTCCACCTGGGAAGAAAGCACCAGGATAATTTGTTAAGTAACCCCCACCTCAGTCCTTTCTGATCTCCCCACTTTCATGATTACCCCCTGAGGACTGCCATATCCCCCACAGGCAAGATAGGGGGGCCCAGACACTGGGTTACCACTGTGCCTGGAGCCAGGACTCCCTGGGGCTGGCATCTCTGCCAGGAATGGTCAGATGCACTGTGATGTGCATATCCCAAATATAAACTGTGACCACAGCCCCAGAATAGAAGGCCAGAGGAAGAAGGGCTGAGAATAGGGTAGGGGCAGGGACATCAGAGAGCAGGGCTCCTCCTTGTAGGAAATGTCAACAATTGGTCCCTCCCCTAGTCCTGGAAGTGGTGCCCCAGGGGCACAGACATGACTCAGGCCTGCTTCCACAGCTCTCTAGAGGGGAGAGGTGGCCCCCAAACCCAGGCCTCCCCATCCCAGGCTGTAGAACAAAAATAAGAGGCTCACTGCTTCATCCTCTGCACAGTTGTCCAGTAGGAGAACAGTTCACAGCCAAGCGACCTCTGCTCTCATCCCCCAACTCTGGGCAATGACCCCCTTCAACCCTGCAGACCCTGCCACATCCCTGGGAATGGACAGAGGCCCAACCCGCTTTCTCTCTCGGGCTCCACCCCACACACCCCATTGGGCAGTTGCTAGCCTATAGAGTTCCCCCTGAGGGCTTCCTTTTTAAATGTTCAGAGTTTTCAGGTCTGAGAAGGCCTTGCTCATTTCCTCCCAGTCTAGGAGGAAGCTCCTGGCCACAGCCTCTGACTCATCTCCTGGCCCTAGGGAGGAGGAGGGTGGGGGTGTGTCCAGGCAGTGCCTTGGGTCATGTGTAGTGTCCCCAGGGGAACTCAGGGGATCTGTCTCCACTCTGTGCTGGAGCCCAGGGGACCCTGCCTCATCCTCTTTACCCAAAACTGCCCAGTCCCACCCTCCTTGCTACCCTTTGCCTTTCTGGGCCTGCCTCTGGAGCCCCTCCCTGATATCCCAAGGCCCTGCCACATCTGGGATGGCACAGACTTCCTTCCCCCTGGGCTCCAGGTAGAGGGACCTGGGTACTGCTCTGACCCTGATGTGAAGGCCAAAGGGGCCCCCATTCCTAGCAGCAGAGATGGCCCTAGTTGCTGTTCATTCCCAGCAACTTTGTTTCCCCATCTGTGGCTAAACATTGCAGGGGAACAGGTGTGGTACTTGTTTCCTGACCTTGCCCCTCCCTACTCCAGCCTCAGTTTACCCCTCAGGAGCAGCTGTGGCAAAGGGGCTAAAGTGTGAACCTGACCTACTGGGACAGGGACCCATGTGGCAGGGTCCCAGAGGATTCTTAATAAGATGGGGTGCTCTGGTGATCAACTGAGCCCTTTGGAGATCTCTTCGGGAGACTGTAGAATATTGTGATGTGAGCCTGAGTCATGGTCTCCCCCCAGCTTTCCCTGGGGCCAGCATGTCCAATTTGCTGTTCATTCTGGGCTGCAGCCTGGTAAGGGACCCCATGAACTTGGTCCTGGCAGAAGTAGGCCCTGTTACCCCAGCAGGTATGATGTGTGTGTGTTCATTTGTGTTCCCTTGCCGGGACTGGGAGGACCAGTTTGGGGTATTTGCACAGTTCAAAAAGCTGAGGGGCATTCTCCAGCCCTTGACAACCTCGTAGGCTCCAGCCCTCATTCCACCTGCCCCCACCGCCCCAGGGTTCCCTGGAGCACTTCCAAAGTCCATGAACCCAAGATCAGTTCAGGGAGCCCTGGTACCATTCTTGATTGTGCAACCTGGGGCAAATTCACAAAATTTCTGAGCCTTGGTTTCCTCACCTATAGAAGGATTATCAGGAGAATCAAGGCACCAGGCAGCCCAGTGTGTTGCACAGAGAAGGCATAACAAATGCAGGCTCCCACCCTCAAGGCCCATTCTTGTCATCTCATTCAGGAAACCAAAGTCCAGTTGGAGACCCAAGATAAAAGGGAGGAAAGAAAATTACATGTCAGTATCACTGATGAACATAGATGCTAAAATCCTCAACAAAATGCTATCAAATAGAATCCAACAACACATTAAAAGGATTATGCACCACAATCAAGTGGGTTTTTCCCCAGGATGCAAGGATTCTTCACAAATCAATCATGTAATACACCATATTAACAAATTAAAATAGAAAACATCAAAACACAGAACATCAGAACACAGGGTCTTAGGAGAAGAAATGGATAGTTAAATTATTTCCTAAAACAAGAATCCTTCAGCATGTAATTTTCACTTTTCTCCATCTTACTTGGCCCTGGCATTCTCACCCAAATATACTGTTATGAAAAATATTGGGGAGTAGACACCATGGTCCCCTAAGCTAGCCCTTGAATGTAAAACCACATGTGACAAGTTGGTTTGGGCTGCCAGAAAAGCCTGAGTCCAAGGAATGAAGAGAAAAATGGGCAAGACAGAGGTAGGAGATTAAGAGGTACAAGCTGCTATATGTAAAATAAGTTATAAAGACTTCCTTAATGGCTCAGATGGTAAAGAATCTGCCTGTAATGCAGGAGACCTGGGTTTGATCCATAAGTCAGGAAGATCCCGTGGAGGAGGGCATGGCAACCCACTCTAGTATTCTTGCCTGGAGAATCCCATGGACTGAGGAGCTTGGCGGGCTACAGTCCATAGGGTCGCAAAGTGTCAGACATAACTGAGTGACTGAGCATGCATGCTTGCATGCACAAGAATATATAGTACAGCACAGGGAATATAGCTAGTATTTTATAATAACTTTAAATAAAATATAATCTTTTTTTGTTTTTGGCTGCACTACGCGCCTTATGGGATGACCAGTGGTTGAACTGGGGCCCTCAGTAGTGAAAGCTTGGAGTCCTAACCACTGGACCACCAGGGAATTCCCAAGTATAATCTTTACAAATTGTGGATTACTACGTTGTACACCTGAAACTTATACAATATTGTAAAATCAGCATCTCAATAAGAATAAGCAAATAAGTAGAGAAAAGTGAGCTGGAGCTGGGAGCCTCCACCCCAAGGCAAACATCAGAGAAGTGAGGAAGACAAGTGCCCTGGAGGCAGTCCGAGATATGGGTCTATGCTCACCCTGTGCTGACCCAAGCACTGTCAGCAGGGACCAGAGTTTGGGCTGCCTCCAGGCTGGCCCAGCCCCAGGGTGCAAGAAACAAGGCCCAGAGGGTTGGCGCTCAGAAGGTGACCCCAGGAAGGGGCCAGGGCTGTGAGGGACAAGCAACTCCCAGCTGGCAGGAAGTCTCTGCTCTTTGCAGCTTGCCTGACCGCCCCCCAACTCCATCTCCCCAGGACAGACAGCTAGAAGGGGGGGGGGCATCATCCTAGGGGCTCTGGACCTCCCCCCAAGAACTGGGGCCTAGGCAGGCTAAGACAGGCGAAGTGGCTGGAAGAGCCATGGCTATCGTCACAGAGAAAGGGGCTCATCTGAGGAGGCAGGGGGTGCTGGAGCATTCAGTCTTCAGGACCCTGCCCCAAAGGGACATGGGCATCCCAGGGTTTCTGAAAGGAAAGGGCCATTCTCAGCTCACAGAATTAGAACCTGGATGTGTGCCTGCAGGAGGGGAAGAGAGTTTTCTGTGGGTGTGCTCACCTGTGCACAGCCAGTAGCATGTGTATATGTGTGTGTGTATACACCCTGCCTTACCATATACTTGGGTGTGTGAGCTGCTACCAGGCATAATCTGCTCACCCCTCCGGTGTTTACCTTCACAGTCTCCTCTCAGCACCCGAGGCGGCTGTGCTTCTACATTTATTTGTGACCTTTTTCTGAGTCAAACCTGCCTGCCTCCCCAACAGAGTTGGAAGACAGGGAAGGCAGAGGCACTAGCTTGTTCCCTGTTGTGTCCTGAGTACCTAAAACCAGCCAGGTTCATGAATATTTGAATGAATGAGCTCTTCTACATGTGTGTGATTTGGGGGATCTCTGAGCGGAGGGTTGTGGCTTTGGGGTCCCAGAGTCCTCCAGTCCAAAGTGGAAGGAGATATGGCTGTGCCTGGCTGGGGGTGGAGTAGGGTGGCTGCTGAGTCACTGTGTGGGAAGAGGGATCAGGAGGAACGTGGGACTGCCCTCAGCTGAGCTGGCCCCAGACAAAGTACCTCAGCCCTGGGGCCTTGCCTCTCCATTGCAGGGCCCATTCCCAGTAGGCCCTGGAGAGGATGACTCTGCTCCCAGGGAGGGGAGAGAGGCCAGGCCCGCCCAAGTCGCCCAGGGGAGGGCAGGCAGCCAAGCAGGAAGTGGGACAGAACAGGCTGGAGTGTTTGTCCTATGTCCCATGTCCCACGCAGGAACCCAGGGAGGGGGGGTGTCACCCAAGGGCCTTACAAGCTCAACTGCCAGGAAGGAGCCGGGTCAGGCTCTCAGGCATGAGCAGGAATACTAAGCGGAGGCAGGACAGGGGCAGGAGCTGGACTCCCTTAACCCCATGGGACTGAGGGCAGCTGGAAGCCTTGGGCTGGGTCCAGAGAAGGGCAGGGCTGACAGAACAACAGGACACATGTTGAGGTTGACTTGCCCAGTAAGATGGAGACCAGAAGACTCCCTGCCTCTCCAGAGTTGGGCTTTCCCTGGGCCTCTCAAGTCAAGAGAACTTAGCCGAGCCCTGCACACTGGCATGGTGCTGTGGAGGAGGTGGCGAGCAGAGGCACAGTGCTGCCCTCAGACTCTCTGGAGTCACCTCACTAGGCTTCTCTACTGGCATTTCTCAAGGGGCCAAGCATCCTGCCTGGTGATGGTGGGAAGCCAGGCTCGGGTGGGTGGAAGGCATGCACAGTGAACTCATGGAAGGAGCATGTACTTTTTGTTACACTGCAGGTTCCAGGGACCCACTATAGGCTGACTGTGAAAGTGAAAGTGTTAGTCCCTCAGTCATGTCCGACTCTTCGCCATCCCATAGACTGTAGCCTATCAGGCTCCTCTGTCTGTGGAATTCTCCAGGCAAGAATACTGTAGTGGGTTGCTATCTCCTTCTCCAGGGAATCTTCCCGACCCAGGAATCGAACCCAGATCTCCTGTATAGCAGGCAGATTCTTTATCGTCTGAGCCACCGGGGCAGCCCTCAGTAGGCTGACTGAGTTACACCCTAAATCTGGTGCTTAATAGGCCTCTTGGAGGCCTCTGAGGTTCAGCTAGGACCGTGGGGACTGTCTGAGTCTTTGCATCGACTGAGCAACTGAACTGAACTGTGGGGACTGTAGCCCATTTGGGGATAGAGCAAAGACCCTCAGGCCTGGAGGGACTGGGAGCCCTTCTTCTCACTGTCTTGACTTGGGGTGACACACATCCCTCCCTGAGCTGGGTTTGTAACCTCCCAGCATTCTTTTTTTTTCTCCCAGCATTCTTAACATTTTCTCCTTGGACTTGAATGCTTGTGGCTACAACTTATCACCCCACAGAGCTGTGGACTTCCTTGAAGGCAGGAACTTCCTCCTATCTTGTCTCCATCCTCCTTCCTCATTCATGTGCATTAGCTCAACAACCATTTAGGGAGCACTAGCTGTGCCCCAAGTGTGTGCGAGGCTCTGCAGATGTCGTACGGACAAGACAGACATGGTGCCTGGACTCAGAGTACTCATGGTTAGTGGGGAGGGATCCTAGTGCCTAGGATGTGCTGATGCCATGTGGAAGGCCTCAGAGGAGGGTCCACACGAGGGCTGGAGGGATTTGCATAGCAATGGCTAGAGGAGTCCAAGAAGGCTTTGCAAAAAGGCATTATCTGAGAATTCCCTGGTTGTTCAGTGGTTAGGACTCTGCATTTTTCACTGCTGAGAATGCGAGTTCAAACTCTGATCAGGGAACTAAGGTTCTGCAAGCTGCACAGGCACAGCCAAAAGAAAGCATTATCTAATCAGAAACCTGAAAAATTGGGTAGATGTCAGCCACAAGAAAGCTCTTTGCATGCGTTTTGCACAGAGTAGGCCCCAAGAGAATGACTGCTCAGGGAATGCATGGCTGCAGTGCAGGCCTCTGCCAGTACCCTGGGTGGGGAGGTAGGAGGTCATGGGCTCTCCATGAATACCCCTGCTACCTCTTCCCCAGCCCTGACAGCTGGTCCCTTTGCCCCCAGCTCGAGGACTGTGCCCTGCAAGTTTCTCCTTCTGGATATTACCTGGACCCTGAGCTGTCCCTGGAAGAGCAGCGGGAGATGTTGGAGGGCTTCTTTGAAGAGATCAGGTCAGAGCGGATGGGGACAGGAAGGCAAGGCTGACTCCCACCCTTGCCGCCATGCTGGAGGGGCTGGCTCATGGGTCAGCAGCCAAGACACCTGATCTCTAGCCAGGGCTGTGGGTCACCTCCTGCTGCCCAGGGGAACCATGCCAGGGGAATCCCAAGGCCTGGCCAGTGTTACCTGCCGCCTGGGATGGGAGTGGGGGCTCACCCACATTCCTGAGATTCCTGGTTCGCACAAACCCTCCTATCTGGACAACTCCTGGGCTCGGAGAAACAGTTGGCGAGGAAGGAGCTGGGCCAGGGTTGGCATGCGGGGAGGTCTTTGGTTGCCTTGGCATGGATGGAGGGACCCCAAGGAAAGGGCTGAGAACTGCTGACTGGGCTACTTGATTCCAGCAAAGGGCGGAAGCCTACTCTGATCCTGCGGACCCAGCTCTCCGTGAGGGTCAATGCCATCTTAGGTGAGTGTGTGAGGATATCAGCATATCCAGCAATTATACCCCCTCATACACCCCGCTTCCCAGTTGGCTCAGTTTCTTTCAGGCCTGTGCTGGACAGTGAACAGGACAGATGAGAGACAGGATGTGTTTCCCCTCCCATTCCTGTTCTGACCCCTTCTCCCAGGGCCAGGGCAGCTGCTAGACTGTGATACATGTTGCCCAGAGTCAGGGAGTTGTGGTTGTGTCCCAGTAGAAGAGAGTGTCTGTGTCCCCTTGAGATTTCCATGCCCACCTACCCCTTGCAGAAAAGTTGTATGGCTGCAGTGGTCCTGAGCTCCGCCGCTCCCTCTTCTCACTGAAGCAGATCTTCCAGGTGAGGCTCAGAGGTGGGTAGGAGGTGGGCATCCAAACTTATCCACACCCCCCTAAACTCCTCCTTGGTGCCCCCAGGAGGACAAGGACCTGGTGCCTGAATTCGTGCACTCTGAGGGGCTGAGTTGCCTGATCCGTGTGGGCGCTGCTGCTGACCACAACTACCAGAGCTACATCCTCCGAGGTCAGCCCCACCCCTCTCCCATGATTCCCGCCTTCAGTGACCCCTTACTGACCTCTTGTGCCTGTGTCCCCAGCCCTAGGCCAGCTGATGCTGTTTGTGGATGGGATGCTGGGGGTGGTGGCCCACACTGAGACCGTGCAGTGGCTGTACACACTGTGTGCCAGCCTGGTAAGTGGCCTTCCACCCAGCCACGCACCCTTTTCCCACTGTCTCTCTCTGGCCCTTAGTTTCCTCAGCACAGTGGGCTGGAATGGAGTGTGTCTGTGGCCCCTCTAAGCCTCAAAGGCAGTTCAACACCTGGTCCTAGAGATGGCTCTTTCTGATTAGACTGTCCTCTCTGGGTCCAGCCCCCCCCCCCAGCCCTTTCCCCTCCCCACCAGGAGCCAGCACAGGTCTGGCCCCAGCCCCACTCACACGTGGTGACCCCTCCCCCCAGTCCCGCTTGGTGGTGAAGACAGCCCTGAAACTGCTACTGGTGTTCGTGGAATACTCTGAGAGCAACGCACCGCTGTTCATCCGTGCAGTCAACTCTGTGGCCAGCACCACGGGTCAGAGACTGTCCCTCCCTCCTCCACTGCTGGGAACCCTCTCTCCTACTTGTTCCCACGTGACCTTTCCCCTTTCTGCGTGCAGGTGCTCCTCCGTGGGCCAATTTGGTGTCCATCCTGGAGGAGAAGAACGGCGCTGACCCCGAGCTGCTGGTGTACACTGTCACCCTCATCAACAAGGTGGGATGGGGGACTTCCCTGGTGGTCCAGTGGCTAAGGCTCCATGCTCCCAATGCAGGGGGCCCGGGGTTCGATCCTTGGTCAGGGAAGTAGATCCCACATGCTGCAACTAAGACCCTACACAAAGAAATAAATAAAAACAAATATTGTTTTTTAAAAAAAAAAAAAAACAAGGTGGGATGGCGGAGCAAGGGGGGAACCCAGGGCCATCCTGGGCCGCTCAGTCTCTTGTCCTCTGATCTGCATCAGCTTCAGCCTTGCCCTCCCATCCCCACCCTCCAGACTCTGGCCGCCCTCCCGGACCAGGACTCCTTCTACGACGTGACGGATGCACTGGAGCAGCAGGGCATGGAAGCGCTGGTCCAGCGCCACTTGGGCACGGCGGGCACGGACGTCGACCTGCGAGCCCAGCTAGTACTCTACGAGGTGGGCTGGGCCATCAGGGCTGGAGAGGAGGGGAAGGAGGGGCTGAAGGGGAGGGAAGAGAGGAGGCGCCGTTAGCCAGGGCCCCACCCCATCGACTTGGGCCTCAGCCACTCCCTTCTGGGCCCAACTCTGCTAGAACGCCCTGCGGTTGGAGGATGGAGACCTCGAAGAAGCCGTCACAGGTGGGCGGCGCACCACCCGCCGAAAACCTTCCTCAGAGGAGGGCAAGAGGAGCCGCCGATCTATAGAAGTGCGCTCCCCGGAGCCTGGGTAAGAACAAGCTACCTGGGGAGGGTTGGATCAGCCAGGAGTAGCCCTGCCTCCTGACAGGCCACACCTCCAGCTCCACAGGCCCCGCCTCTCCGGCCGTCTCCACAGCCGCCGCCAGCCCGGTCCTGCCGACCAGCCCCACCTCCAGCCCCGTAGGCCCCGCCCCACCTCCAAGGCCCGCCTCCAGCCCCGTGGGCCCTGCCTCTGGCCTCCACAGCACCTTGAGCCTCTTTCCTACCATCTCCGTGGCGCCCTCATCCGACAGCTCCTGTGAGAGGAGCGTCTACAAGTAAGTAGGGAGATACAGGCTGTCACGGGAGTCTTCTCTCCAACTGTCCCTCCTCTCTGCGCCCCTCCACGGGCCCTCCGCCTCCTCTGCCCAAACTTCTCTGCCAAACGCGTGCTTTCTCTTTCTTTCCAGACTTCACCAAACTGCTCCTGTTTGGTAAGTGACTGCTGGGGGGTCGGGTTCGGCTCTGACTGGACCTCGTCCTCCTGAGGCTTTTCTTCATCTCTTTCTGGCATTCCACCTATATGGTCAATGTCATCTGTCTCTCTGCCCCCTTCTGTCTCAGTTTCTCTGTAACTGTCTGTGGCTCTCTCGTTTCGCTGTCTTTGTCTTTTACGGCACCCTGTCCTGCGTCATGTCCGTCTCTCCTCTCCATTTCCAGTTTCCTCACATCATACCTCCCTAACTCCCTCCTATTCCCTTTGTGACTGGGAAGGGACCCCTGATATCACTGCCCAGCTGTATGTGGGTGTGAGCAACTGGGTGCTGTGGGGTGGAGCAGGCACCACAATTACCATTTCTTCCTCTCATCCACCCCCCCTACCCAGGGCCCCTGAGAGCCCACCTGTCCCCCAGGTCCCTACTGGGGAGGCCAGGCTGGAGTAAGTACAGAGGCCAGCCTGCCAGGCCTGCCATGTGCTCAGGGCTTCAGCATTGCTTCCCCCAGCGGGGGTTCCATGTGCCTGATGCAGCCAGAGCTGGGGGGCTGTCTCAGACTTATACCTCCTCAGATACCCAAGGACTAAGCACTGGAAGACAGTTCACTGGGGTCATAGAGGTCCCTGTGCTTTAACCGTGGCACCTTAACAGCTTTGACCAGTGATGAGGATGTGAATTCCCAACCTGGAGCCGATTCTGGATCCTCAGTCCAGGATTAGTGCTGGGAGGGACCTAGAGTGCTACACGGTGTGGAGGTGGAGGAGCAACCTCTGTCTAAGGGAAGGACAGAGACTGAGTGCCAGCAGGGCCAAAAGAGATGGGATCACCTTCATTATGTCAACATAAACTGGGCACCTGTCATTTACCGGACCCCTTTCTGGGCATCAGTCATGGCTCTTGGAAGCTGCCAGACCTGCCAAGGGAGGGACAGCCTGGTGTGGCCATTGGGACAGCTAGCCCCTCCCCCTGCTCTAAGGGTCCTTGTCTAGAATCAGAACAGTGAGCATGAACAACAGCAAGATTGCAAGTTAGATGTCACTTAGAACTTTTCCCATTTGTTGACCTAGGAGTACTGGGTTGTTAGTGACCTCCCCAAATGTGGAAGACTGAATGGGGACTGCCCTTGGGCAGGTCCTGGTCTGCTCAGCGCATGGACTGTTCCCTGTGTGTCTGTGTGCTTGCAACTAGGGGCAGTGCCCAGGGGCCCAGCAAGGCATGCACACCACCCTGGGCTGGGGTATGTCAGACACGCTCACTGACAAGTTCCTCCCCCCAGAGCCCGGTTCCTGGAGAATGTAGCAGCAGCAGAAACAGAAAAGCAGGCTGCGCTGGCCCAGGGCCGGGCAGAAACATTGGCCGGAGCCATGCCCGATGATATGGACGGGCGCCCAGGTGAGTAGGTGGGTGGGCAGTATCCACCCACGTTGCCCTGTTGCTCTAGAGAAGACATGACACTGACAGCTGCTTCCCTTTGTCTAGACACCCAGGAATCACGGCACTCTCAGGAACCCACCCCTGCACCCAGGACACCCCAGAGTGCTGCCCCCCGAATCCTGCTGCGTGCCCAGCAGAGCCTTGAGCCAGAGCCCAAGGAGCCATTGGCCCCACCAAGCCCCAAGGCTGAGCCTGTGTGGGAGCTCCCTGCCCGTGTACCCAGGCTCTGCATTGGGGACCTGGACTTCTCAGATCTGGGGGAGGATGAAGACCAGGACATGCTGAACATGGAGTCTGTGGAGGTGGAGAAAGGGATCCCACCCCCACCGCCCCCACCACCCCTGCTCTGTGGAAGCCTCCCACCTCCTCCGCCTCCACCTCCACCACCCCTCAAAAGCCCCTTCCCACCAGCCCCACCCCCACCCCCTGCTGCCCCTCTTCCCCACTCGGCACCTGATGGCCCTGCCCTCCCCACCAAGAGGAAGACAGTAAAACTCTTCTGGCGGGAGCTAAAGTTGGCTGGAGTCCGTGGAGGCTCTGGCAGTCGCTTTGGGCCCAGCCCCACCCTGTGGGCCTCACTAGAGCCTGTCTCAGTGGATACAGCCCGGCTAGAACACCTGTTTGAGTCCCGAGCCAAGGACATTTTGCCTTCCAAGGTAAGCACACCCTCATCTGCAGGGTAACCCCAGGGCGGGGAGAGAAGGGAGCCAGAGCTCAAGGGTCTGAACTGCTGGGGAAACTGAGGCAAAGAAAGGAGGAGGAACTTGTCTGAGGTCCTTCAATGAGGGTTTAGCCCATCCCTAACTAGCATCTAAGCCCATCCCAAGGCCTTGCACATCCCAGAGCCCTGGCTATGGGGTAACTGCACCATTTGGGGCATTGAGAGTGGGGCCTTGGTGTGACCTCTTAGGTTGTTGCCCCAGTTAGACTCTTTCCCAATCTTATACTGCCTTTCCCCCGATGTCAAAGAAAGCTGGTGAGGGCCGCCGTACAATGACCACAGTGCTGGACCCCAAGCGCAGCAATGCCATCAACATTGGCCTAACCACACTGCCGCCTGTGCACGTGATCAAGGCTGCCCTCCTCAACTTTGATGAGTTTGCCGTAAGCAAGGATGGCATCGAGGTAGGGATACACAGTGAGGGGTGTGGGGAGCTGGGCCCTCTCCTTTGGTTGATGGCCACTTCCTGTCCCTCCAGTGGTGGGCATGGGCTTGGCATTTCTGCAGAGCAGTCCTCAGACTGTGGGACTGCCCCAGATGACCTAGGGAGGAGTCAAGGTCAGTACCCAAGGCCTCAGGCCAGCACTAAGTGGCCTCTGTGGGGCGGTGGGTGCATTCTCAGAAGCTACTGACCATGATGCCCACGGAGGAGGAGCGGCAGAAGATCGAGGAGGCCCAGCTGGCCAATCCCGACATACCCTTGGGCCCAGCCGAGAATTTCCTGGTGACTCTCGCCTCCATCGGGGGCCTGGCGGCCCGCCTACAACTCTGGGCCTTCAAACTGGATTATGACAGCATGGAGCGGGTACCTGGGTCATGGGACGGGACAGGCAGTGGGACAAGTGAGCATGATGACCGTGTAGTCTGAATCCCTCATCTCCCCTACCAGGAAATTGCAGAGCCACTGTTCGACCTGAAAGTGGGCATGGAACAACTGGTGCAAAATGCCACCTTCCGCTGCATCCTGGCCACCCTGCTGGCTGTGGGCAACTTCCTCAATGGCTCCCAGGTGAGTTGAGAGCCTATGATGGTGGGGACTGGGACTCTGGAGCCAGCCAGGCCCAGGCCCAGGTTCAGACGGGATCCTTTCAGAGCAGCGGCTTTGAGCTGAGCTACCTGGAGAAGGTGTCAGAAGTGAAGGACACGGTGCGCCGACAGTCACTGCTGCACCATCTCTGCTCCCTGGTGCTCCAGACCCGACCTGATTCCTCTGACCTCTACTCAGAAATTCCTGCCCTGACCCGGTGTGCCAAGGTCAGCACCTGACAGAGGCTTGACTAAGGCTGGTCATGGCATGAGGGAGCACCACTTCTCTCCCTCTCTCTGAGTGGGCTGCCAGGCCAGGGCTTGCTCAGGCTCCAGGCTTATGTGTGGGCTCTGTCTTCTGCCAGAAACACTCTTCTTTTGGCCTGACTACACCTACTCAGTTTGGGGTCTGTTTAGCTGCCACTTATCCCAAGAAGGGGCTTCCCTGGTGGCTCAGATGGTAAAGAATTTGCCTGAAATGCAGGAGACCCAGGTTTGATCCCTGGGTTGGGAAGATCCCCTGGAGGAAGGAATAGCAACCCACTCCAGTATTCTTGCCTGGAGAATTCCATGGGCAGAGGAGGCTGGTGGGCTACAGTCCACGGGGTCAAAAAGAGTTAGACATGACTGAGCAGCTAACACTTTCACTATCCCAAGAAACCTCTGTTCCCTACTGTATCACATGGACTTGCTGAACTCTTGCATGAGACTGTGAGCTTTTGGAGGGTGGGGGTTGGATCTGCTGTTTGCTCAGGGCCCAGGCTGACCATCCCAGCACAGAGGCAACCTCAGGCAGTGTCTTTCTGTGGGGGGACTGCATGTTACCCCCTGCTTTTCCAGGTGGACTTTGAGCAGCTGACTGAGAACCTGGGGCAGCTGGAGCGCCGGAGCCGGGCAGCTGAAGACAGCCTGCGGAGCCTGGCCAAGCACGAGCTGGCTCCAGCCCTGCGTGCCCGCCTCACCCACTTCCTGGCTCACTGTACCCGCCGTGTTGCCATGCTGAGGGTCGTGCACCGTCGTGTCTGCAACAGGTGGGGGCATTGCAGACAGAGGGGGGACCGCCACCACCATCCCTCAGACCCCAAACAGGACTCAGCCCTCCTCTCCATTCTACACCTAGATTCCACGCCTTCCTGCTGTACCTGGGGTACACGGCGGAGGCAGCCCGTGAGGTTCGCATCATGCAGTTCTGCCACACGCTGCGGGAGTTCGCACTGGAGTATCGGACCTGCCGGGACCGGGTGCTGCAACAGCAGCAGAAGCGGGCCACGTACCGTGAGCGCAACAAGACCCGGGGACGTATGATCACCGAGGTGGGTGTGCCTTCCGGTCTTGACTGCCACCCCTGTGGTTTTCTTCTACTCCCCATTCACCCCCTTTCCCCTCTCCAGACAGAGAAGTTCTCGGGTGTGGCTGGGGAAACCCCCAGCAAGCCATCTGTCCCTGTGGCTGTGAGCAGTGGACCGGAAGAAGGTGATGCTGATAGTCACGCCACCATGAAGAGTCTGCTGGCCAGCAAGCCTGAGGATGCCACACATGGCCGTCGCAGCAGAGGTGGGACCAGTGGCTGCTGGGGGCAGTGGGCTCTGGGGCCACTCTGGTCTGACCTTTTTACCTGGCTCCCACAGGCATGGTCCAGAGCAGCTCCCCAGTCATGCCTACAGCAGTGGGGCCCTCCACTGTACCCCCAGAAGAATCTCCAGGCTCCAGTTTACCCAGTGACACTTCAGATGAGATCATGGACCTGCTGGTGCAGTCAGTGACCAAGAGCAGCCCCCGTGCCTTAGCTGCTAGGGAACGCAAGCGTTCCCGTGGCAACCGCAAGTCTTGTGAGTATTCCCCACATGCCCACTGCCCACCTTAACCTCATCAAGCCCCACCAACCCTGCTCTGTCTTGCAGTGAGGCGGACGCTGAAGAGCGGGCTTGGAGAGGATCTGGTACAGGCACTTGGACTGAGCAAGGGTCCTGGCCTGGAAGTGTGAAGGTGCTGCCTCCAGGACACCTATCTGGGCCCCAGCCTGCAGTGCAGGAGACTACAGTGAGGAGGCACCAGAGCAGAATTCTGGGCCTCTTCTCAACTCAAGGGCCACTCTGTGCCCGTGGCCAGTGCCGTGAGCAGTATTAGCTGTGTATGCCTGTGTGGGTGTGCGTGTGCATGTGTGAGCTCCCTGGATGCTGGAGCATAATAAAGTTTTCCTAGCCAGTCAAGAGCCTTTTTCTTCCTTCAGGGTACCCATGACGCTGGCCCGCAGCAGAAAAGAAAATCCCAAAGAACTGGCTGTTCCTGCCCTAGCTCTCTCATTATCACCCACAACGCCATTAGCCACATTATAAGCCATTTATTCAACAATCCTATACCCTAGACCACTTTTGGCCCCTGGACTAGGCCCTCACTGCTCCTGGCATGGGGACCACACAGCCTGATAAGAGCCACCCAGGGCTCAGAAACCTGGGGCCACAGTGTCAGTGGCTATAACCGCTTCATCTGCCGCCGCTCCTGTCGGCGCTGCCGTTTCTCATTGTGCTCTGGCACTGGGGCGCCACTGTCCGCTGTGAACCAGGGGCCCAGGACATTGACCCACAGGAGGTAAAGAGCTCTGCCTGGAGCCTAGGAGAAAAAAAGTAGCTTGAAGCCAGGTACAGGAAATGAAAGAAGAGGAGGCTTAGATGCGCCAGCTTCTCCTCGGGAGTCCCGCAACCCACATACCAGGAGCCAGAAGGACCAGATGTAGAGGGAGAAGCAGCTGAGCACCTGCACGATAGCTGTCAGTAGGATCACATCTTTAAGGTGCCTGTGGAGAGAAGGGAAGCTGCAAGGGCCAAAAATAGTAGCCGGGGAATTCCCTGGTGGTCCAGCAGTTTAGGATTCCATGCTTTCACTGCTGAAGGCCTGGGTTCAATCCCTGGTTGGGGAACTAAGATCGCACAAGATGCGCAGCAGAGCCAAAAATTTTTACATAAAACAAAAATAAGAGATGGGCCCTAGTTCAACTCCCTTCCACCCTCTTCAAGTTGCAGGCAGCTGTGGGTCTTGGGCTATCTGGGCCCCAGCACCCCAGCCCTGGCGCTGCTCACCTGGGCTGACAGCGGGGGACACTCACTCTGCCATGCCCTGCTCCATGTTGAGATCCATTCCACCATCCACCAGGGCCCCATCCTCAGAGAAGGCTGCCCTTGCCATCGAGCTCATAGAGTGGTAGCTGGCCCCGTATACTGCCAGACTAAAGACCAGGGCCATCTGTGGAATAAGAATGGGGGTGTTAAAAGGGCAGCCACTGACCCTATGGGCTTACCCACTTCCCAGGATGGGGGACACTTACCCAGGCCCAAAATGAGGCAGATGAGTAGAAAAAGACCAAGGTCACAAGACAGTAAATGGCCTGTAAGCAGACACAGGATCAGGCTAGGATCAAAAGCTTACTAAACCATGGACCTTCCTTGACTTTGACTCTAGACCAGGTGATGAAAGGAGACAAGTCGTTTCTTACAAGGTTGGGGGAAGAGATCTGCTCCCAGAATATCCAGACACCCCTGACATAGGAAAGAAGCCCCTGTGCATTTAGGATGGGAAAGGCTCAGGTTCATTTAAGACTCACACCCTCATTTTGCTTTTGTTTTTCATTTTGACTATTCAGCACTTTCTCTGCACCAGGATTCTTTCTCATTTATTTGGCTGCACTCGGTCTTAAGTGTAGCATATGGAATCTAGGGAGTCTTAGACACTGGACCACCAGGGGAAGTCTCTCTCCTTTATTTTTAATTGGAGTTTTCTTCTGGAGTTTTGGCTGTCACACACCCCCACCACTCTACCCCACCAAACAGAGCTGAGGACTATGGAACCTTGGGTGGGCAAGGAAGCAAGGAGGGAGGCACTTACATTAGCCCCCAGTATGATTCTCAGGTAGAACTTCAGGGTCTCTTTGTTCTCCTCAAATATCTGCTTCTTCCCTCTCGTGCCCACTTTTCCTTTGGGCTGCAGAGAGATAATGAGATACCATCAGAACCCTCATCAGTCAGGACCTGCCTTAACCTCCCCACCATTCCGGTTAGCTGAATGGGCTTGACTGGCGTCCCTCTCCGGCCTCTACTGAAGTAAACCCGCTCGGGGCTGACACTATCCTGCCTCAAGCCCCTCAGATCTCTAGCTAGTCCTGGTACTGTTTGATATCGACGCCCATCGCCCCTCAGGCCCCTCGATCTCTGCAGCCCTGGTACTGTCTGCTACAGACGCCCAGCTCTCTCTGGCACCAGCTCTGGTATGGTCCTGGATGGCCACTGGATGGCGCCCCCCTCCAGCGAAGGCGGGGGGGGGGCGCTGGATTGACCTATTTCCCTTGAAGCCCTTCTTCTGATTTCAGTCGCCCGATCCCGGGAGCGCTTTGCCATGCGGACCACGCCCTACTCGCCCTCCTTACCGCCATAGTGAGACGCAAATACCCAGCCAAGGAAAGAAGGGAGAGCGACCAAAACCGCACTCAGTAGGTACCACATCGGCAGCACAGGCACTTCCGGTGCAGATCCAATACGTCACACCTGGGACGGAAGTTGGAGGTCCACTTCCTTCCCAAGCCCCGCCGTCCAGAGTCGGTGGGACTACGCTTCCCAGAAAGCCTTGCGCGGGGGCGGAGGCAGCAGGGATGCGATGGCGGAGTCGCTGCCGCTGGAGGTGAGAGGAGGCTGCCCTCAGGCCTAGCTCGGGACAGGCCCCGCCCTCGGGGTCCCAGGCTGTGGGGAGGGGCTGTCAGACAGCTCTCCCGGACCCGCCAGTCTGGCGGAAACAACCCGGCCGGGAGATCCCTGGACCTGCAGGCTATGGGTAACGGCCCCGCCGCCTTTGGGCCACTCTATCCCCTTACCTTGGGGGACCACCCTCTCCTTCCCCATCGGCCCCAGGAGATAGCTGCTGTCACCTCAGCGAGGACAGGGCCTCTCTGCCTACCCCTGATCTCTTGAGATGGTCGTCCCTCCCCCTCAGTTCTGGAAGATGTCCGCTGCATCCCATCAGCCCCGAAGGGTAACCGATCTTACCCCCATTTGTCCCTTGGAATGGTCGCTCCATTCCCTTCCCTTCGAGAGACGGCTGCCCCTTCCCATCAACTTCGGGCATGGTCTCTGAGTTCCCTCACCGAGGACAGGCCTGCTCCCCACTTCCTCAGCCCCTAGTGATGGCCATCCCTGCCTCCTTCACCTTCATCTTTCATGAGATGTTTGCTCCCTCTACTTAAACTGGAGGTAGATCACTCTGCCGCTGTTGTCCCGAGACAGATAAGTTTTGTCCCAGTGGCCTCTTGGGATGGCCTCTCCATCCTGTTTGCCCAGAAAGTTGGCAGACCCCTCCCACTGCCCAAGAGAGACAGGGCACCCTTTCCCCATCGGCCCTTGGAATGATGTTCCACCCCCAATGAACCCCCTGAGATGGCATCCTTTCCCCCTTCTGCCCCAGAGGATATCTGTCCCATCACCATGGATCACAAAGATGACCAGTCATATCTATAGTAGCTCCTTGGGATGGAGTTCCTGGGATGGCCACTCCACCCTTATCACTGCCTCTTCTGTTCCCTCTAGAAAGGCCTTCCCCCTTCTCAACTCAAAGAGTCATGCTTCCCCCTCTCAGTGAGGACAGGTTTGTTGCCCTCCTTTTGCTCTGGGGTTGGCTACTGAACCCCAGAAGACAGGATGACCACTATCTTACCTCAGCTCAGACAAGTTTTCCTGCCTCCTCTTGGGGATTGGAGCATGGTCAGTTCCAGTCCCCATCAAAGGTCTCTTCTCCAGGCCTAGCCTCCCTGGCCCAGAGGTTGTTCTCGCCAGTCATTCTCCTCTCAGTAATGATCTGTTTTATCTTCCCACCCATTCCTTGAGCAAATCTTTGGTGAAAAGAGAGGTAAAAGACTGTCCATTCTTATTTAATTCAATCCAGTAAGTACTGACTAAGTACCTTCTGTGTACTAGCAATCAGGGAAGGGAAGAAGAGACCAAGTGGGCTGGTGAGGGTCAAGCTTAAGGGCATTCCAGGAAAAAGGCCCACATAGGCAAAAGGAAATAAGAAAATCAACTTGCTGTGTTTGTAGGACACTGGGAAGACTGGCTTGTGGAAGTTCTGGGATCAGGGGTACAGTCAGGCATGGAGGCCTGGCAATGCTGACTCAGGAGAAGAAATTTTGTCTTGAGGGTATTGGGGAACCCCAAAGGTTTTCATCAGGAATGCACTGAGACTGAAAGCTGTTTCTTAGGAAAATTAACCTTGTTACAGTCTGTAGAATGATTAGCAAGGATGAACCTGGAGGCAAGGAGATCAGGTGGGAGATGGTGGAAGAAACCCTGGTCTGGGGTGAGGAAGATCTGGGCTACTAAGGTGGTAAGGTTTCAAAGGTAGAATTATAATATCAGCAATCCAGGAACCATTTATGGACCATCTAGGTGTGAAGCATATTATATCTATTAAATTTACATATATATATAAATTATAATTTGATCCCTGTCAGAAGACTGTGAGGGCAGCTACTAAAGACTCCTCCTGCAATGCAGGAGACCTGTTTGATTCCTATGTTGGGAAGTTCCCCTGGAGAATGGAAAGGCTGCCCACTCCAGTATTCTTGGCTTCCTTGGTGGCTCAGATAGTAAAGAATCCGCCTGCAATACGGGAGACCTGGGTTTGATCCCTGGTTGGGAAGATGCCCTGGAGGAGGGCATGGTACCCCACTCCAGTATTCTTGCCTGGGAGAATCCCCATGGACAGAGGAGCCTGGCGGGCTACAGTCCATGGGGTTGCAGAGTTGGACATGACTGAACGACTAAGCACAGCACATAAGACTGTGATCTAGATTTTTTTAATATCCCCATTTTACAGGTGTGGGTTGAGGTTCAGAGACATCACATATCTTGCCTGAGGTCACACAGCTAGGAACTGGTGGAGCTGGGATTTGAATGAGTCTTAAGTAAAGCCTATGCTTTACACCTGTATCTGGAGCAAGGGACAGACGAGCATGAAGAGTATAAAGTTTTATCAGGATCTTCAGGCGAGATTCTCTGTTGGGATTGAAGCTCGGGGGCTGGAAAGTTGGGAGGAGGGGCTGCTTTGGACTGCGGTGAAGGTGATGGTAAAACATTTGGATGAAGAATCCTGTGGAAAGTTGGCAATACTAGACTAGCACATGAATGATAAAACAATATGGAATATTGAATTGTTGGTTATTCTTATAGAGGTAATTGTTAAAGCAATGCAAGTGAATTTATTATCCTAGAAAGTGAACAAATTGAAAGACTCAGGTCTGAGCCCTGGGAGCCACAGAAGAATCTAGAAACAGGGCAATTGGAGTGGTGAGTGGAGCCCTAGAAAACACAGTGTCACAGAAGTCAAGGAGGGAAGATACCAGAAGAAAAGAATAGTTAATACCAGATTATTCTTGGTCTCACAGGCAGCTCCCTTCCCCAGTCCCTAATAAGTCCTCCACCCCCAGCCTCATAGAGCATAGGTGGAGTGAGAGCCTTAGCCTACCAGGATGGGTCTTGCTGAGAATTGTAACAGCCGGCTGAGAAGCTGTGAAGAAGACTGAAAGAGTGCAGTCCCAGTGTAACTTCCTCAAGATCAGCACTTGCCCTGCTGTGTTCTAGATCCTATGCAAGACACTTTACCATGATATTTAACTGTCACAGCAACCCACTTAAATCTCACTACAACTGTCTTTTTATAGATAAGAAAAATAAGGCTCAGAGGGGTCAGTTGAGAGAATAAGGATCTAAACTAGGTTCATCTAGTCCCAGTGCCCAGGCCCTTTTTATCAAATTGAGCAGGAAGTTTGATTTTTATCAGAACAAACCTGCATCCAGATGGTGCTCAGCAAAGGTTTGTTCTCAGTAAAGATACGGGAGACTGGAGAGGACAAGTGAAGACTTTCTGAAGCTTAGGATCCAAGATGAGCTAGAAGCCAGTGCTCTAGTCCCCTCTGACCTACTGTGCTGCCAGACAGAGAAGATTTCAGAGGGCCCCACCAGCACTAACAGCCCCAATGCCCTGTCTTTTTCCCTCAGATGGTCACATATATTCTGAGCTTCCTGCCTCTGTCAGATCAGAAAGAGGCCTCCCTCGTGAGCCGGGCTTGGTACTGTGCAGCCCAGAATGCCCTTCGGGAGGTAAGGTGCCTACCCTCACCTAGCCCATGCTCAGTATGTCTCACTTCAGCTTGCTCGTGGCCCTACTCATACATCATCCATCCATTCATTCCTGCATATTTATTCATACATACTTGGCTCTGGGTCCAGTACTGGAACTCTACAGATGAACCAAACATATTCCCCTCCCCTGAGAAGCTTATAGTCTAGTGAAGGAAAAAGACAAATAAGTGAGTGATCATGATGTTGTGTGCTCAGGGCATTGGCATGAAGGGGGCCATGGGAACATGAAGGACACGGAAGGAGACTGGCAGCATCAGGGAAGGTTTCCTGAAGGAACAGGATGAGGAGCATGAAGGTTGGTCTTCAGGACTCAATAACTGCACAGGCAAAGGCATCAAGGTGTGAAATAGTTCAGGAAATGACCACCCAGGTTCGCTATGACTGGAACTTAGGTGTGTTGGAGAGAAGTGGTGGGAGATGAGGCTAGAAAGGGGTCAGAAAGCAAGACAGATGTGCCAGGTGGCATTGCTAGGGCTTTCTCCTGGTTATCATTATGGGTAACCAGGTAACCCATGGAACTTTAGGAACATTAAAGGAACATTAGGCAGGGGAGTGACATGCAGTGATTTATGTCTTAGACCTCCACAGTGCAGAGTGGACTGAGAGGTGATTCATAGGGAGACAACCCCCTAGGAGGTGAGTGCAGGCATTTGTGCTAGTTGGAAAGGCAAGCAGTGAGAGCCCTTTGTTTCAGTTTTGACTGTCACTGAGGTTGAACAATTTTCTCATTAGTGGACCATTTATATTCCCCTCTTTTGTGTATTTCTGTTCCTTGTCTAATTATTGGGGTCTTAGTATTTTTCTTATTGATTTGTATGAACTTTTTATACATTAAAGAAGTTAATCTTTTACATACTTACTGAAATATATTCCTCATATATTTGCCTTTTTAAATTTGATTTGTAGATATGTGTTGTTTATGAGATATACAGGGGTTAAATTTTTGGGTTGTTGACTCTGAACATTCTTTTCTTTATTTCTGCCATTGCTTTAGAGATACTTTGCCTCTTTGGAGATTTGATAAATATACACTCATATTTTGCTTTTTTTTTAAATTTTGATTTACTTCTTAGATCAGTTTTAGGTTCACAGCAAAATTGTTTTATGGCTTGAATTTATACACACACACACACACACACACACACATATATATATATATTTGATGTAATTTATTTAGACTTATGCTGTAAGGTAAGGAGCTAAACTGATTAGTTTTCAAGTAGCCCAAGTACCATTTATGTATAATGGATTGGAAACCTCCTCTGTCACATTTTAAATGAGCGTTTAAGTAGGGTTGTTGTTGAGTTCTCTCTCCAGTGTCATTGAGCCTAGTTTCTAAAGAAATTTGGTTTGAATTTGTTGAAAATATGAAGTATAAAACATCTAAATGGCGAGATCCAGTTGGTAGTTGGACTTCTGAGAGAGGAATTCAAGAGAAAGTTCTGGGTAATAAATATAGATGAAGGTGTCATTTAAGAACAGGTGGAGATTTAAGCCTTGGATCTAAGTCACTTTCCCTGGGGAGAACAAGAGGAGCCCTGAAGAGCAGGCCACAGAGACTGTCCAGGAAGGATACCAGTCCAAAGGCAAGGAGAGGACGAGGGGCCTGTAGAGAGGCCTCACTCATTCGGATGGTGAGGTTACCTCTGTGCCCAAGCACTGTGCTAGGCCCCAGGGCTGGGGCAGACACAGCACTCAGAGTTGACAGTGAGAGAGAGACAGCACTGCACTCAAAATCTTAAGAAAGGTGCATGATGCATACTAAAGATGCAGAGAAGATTCACAGAAGACTTCATGGAGAAGGGGATGCTTGGGTTAAATCTTGAGAGAGGATACATATTTGTTAAGGAATAGGTGAGGGGTCAGACTACCCCCCACCCCCAGAAAAAAACAGCTGAACCCAGGCATGGAAGTATGAGACAGTGGTCTGAAATTAGCATTCCAGAGCCAGAGTGGGGAGCAGGCATGGGAAAGCTGGGGCTGAAGAAGTAGGCAGGCCCTGAATGCCAGCCGGGAAGCTCAGCTTCCATCCTGTGCAGTGATGAACCACCAAGGGCCCGAAAAACGTGGTCAGTTGCCTTTCGTCAGGATCACTCTGTTGACAATACCAAGAGTAGACTGGAGCCAGAGAGATTGAAGGCCAGGAGGAAATAGGAGATGGACTGGAAAGGACCTTGGACGTTGTGGATATGAGGGAGCAGTCTAGGATGATTGCCAGATTTCTGACTTAGGTGATTTGGTAGAAGGCACTGGGAGTTTGGGAGAAGCGGGGATAAGACAGTAAATTCAGATTTGGGCATAATGCATCCCTGTATCTGGAGAGAGGTCCATCAGGTCATGGCTCCCAGTATCTGGTGCCCAGGAAGAAGGTGTGGGAAACAAAGTAGCTGGAATGGCATGAAGTCTGCTGGGGTGCACGTGGAGGGAAACTCTGTGTGTGTGTGTGTGTGTGTGTGTGTGTGTGGAATAGAACAATTCATGGGGAACCCACTGGTCCATGGACTGGGTCTTTCTGCTCTTTGATGCACGTGGAGGGAAACTCTGTGTGTGTGTGTGTGTGTGTGTGTGTGTGTGTGTGTGTGTGTGTGTGTGGAATAGAACAATTCATGGGGAACCCACTGGTCCATGGACTGGGTCTTTCTGCTCTTTGATGCACGTGGAGGGAAACTCTGTGTGTTGTGTGTGTGTGTGTGTGTGTGTGTGTGTGTGTGTGTGGAATAGAACAATTCATGGGGAACCCACTGGTCCATGGACTGGGTCTTTCTGCTCTTTGATGCACGTGGAGGGAAACTCTGTGTGTGTGTGTGTGTGTGTGTGTGTGTGTGTGGAATAGAACAATTCATGGGGAACCCACTGGTCCATGGACTGGGTCTTTCTGCTCTTTGATGACCCCAAACAGGGAACAGGCTAGAAGGTAGGAGAGACAAGAGGGCAGAGTCTCAGAACCCCCAATAGGAGAGAACACTGGGGAGACAGGCCATATCGAGTAGGCACCATGGTGCAGCAGAGAGGAAGGACACCTGTGGAAGGTCTGCAGAGGAGCCCCCAGATATTGGTGATCTTGCTGGAGAGGGGCTGTTTCTGGGAATGAGGGATTCTGTGGGGACAGTGGTGGAGGGATTAGTGGGCAAAACTATGGTCAAGAGGTGGCCACAGTGGGTGTGGGCACCCATGTGCTTCCAAGAAGCGTGATAGTAAAGGGGAGGGGTGAGGGGGTTGTAGGATCAAGGGAGGCCTTTGTTAAGACTCTGGGGTGTTTGTGGACTCTGAGGAAGGAGCAGTGGAAAGGCAGAGATTTCGGGATTCTCAGAGGAGAGGGTGGGGACAGGCTCAGTAGGCCAGGAGAAGGGGTCTCCTTGAACCCAAGAGCAGAATAGGGAAGGAGGTTCTGATGGGTCCTGCCAAGGATGGGCTGGTGGATGTGAACAGGGAAGAAGGAGGGCCTTCCCACCTAAGAGCATTGGTTTCTATTTGAAACATATCTGAGAAGGCTGGAGTGAGGGGAGGGAGCTGCAGTAGCATCGGGGGCTTGGAAAGAAGACTAGGGGAGTGAGAAGAGAGGGGCTGTGAGGAGAGGGGAGCCAGTGCAGACAGGAAGGGAGGCTGTGGCTTCCTCGGACAGCACATACCCAGAGGAGGCCATGGTCTCATCATCCCTGGCTGGGCAGAGGGCCCAGAGAGCAGGTGCACCCACATGATGGGCAGGGCCACGGGGACCCTGATGAGAGGTCATCAGTCAGGGAGGCTTCTTGGAGTCCAGCAAAGAAGGAGGGTGCAGAAGAAGCCAAGTGGGCAATCAGGCCCCAGGGATGAAGGTGAGACTGGAACAGGAGTGAGGGAAAGAAGAAGAGGAAGAGGCCAGGGTCAGAGTTTGGGATCCAGAGCCTACCATTTTAGCACTGGAGCTTCTCCAGTGAACCCTGAGCTCCAGATAGAGCACTGACAAAGACCCGTTCGGTGACTCTGCAAAGCCCTACTCCACCGCCAGGACTGGGAGCCCTGAGAAGCCAGGCCACAGATACCTGGGCTTCTAGGGCTGACACCACCATGTCCCAGAGAACAATCTCTGGAGCCCTACTGACAGGACCCATCTCCCAGGGTGCAGCCGGTTGAGGAGGTGGTGCCCCAGCTAGTAGATGCTGTGGAAGATTCTGGCTCACCAAGGCCAAGCCGTATGGCTCCAGGTCAGGCTAGGATGCTCAACTTGGTAACTTCTTAATCTCCCTCACCTGCCCCCACTTAATTCCACTTTTTCTCAAATAAGAAGACAGACAAAGGCAGGGCCTGATGTACACCTGGGCTCTGTCCATACCTGGGACTGGGGTGGGGGTGCTGCCACCACGCTGGTCACTGTGAAGATCTCAGGACAGTTCCTGCCCCCTGCTGCCTTCTCGTGCCTGAGGTGTCTATAAAAGCCTCTAGAAATGAGCCCCAAAGTCTGATTCCTCTATGGAGACCAAAGCCCCTGGGCAACAGGACATACGCTTCCTCAAAGTCCTTCCGGAAAACAGGCGTGCTAACTTTGGATCCCTGTGCTGGCAGACAGGAGAGTCATGCTTCTCTCAGATGGCTTTCCAAGTCTGCACACAGGCCTGCTGCCTCAGCTCAGGACTTCAGTAGTTACAACAGAGTCCTGGCCTCTCACAGTCAAGGAACACGTATTGCTTTTAGCAGGTTTAAGGCATTTTTCCAAATGACTCCGCATTTACTCTTAAGATGCCAGCATAGAAGGTAGGAGACCAGGAGGCTAGTTGGCCCCTCTGTGCTGAGGCGGCTGAAGCTGGAGCAGGTACCCATGTTATACTCCCTTGGGGCTTTAGAAGCATCTTCCCAGGGCCTGGGGAGGGGCACTTTCCTACACTGGGGTAAAGACCAGAACCCAGAAGGCTGTCCACAGAGGGCAAATATCCCCAGCAGGCTGCTCCTGGACTTCTGTATCTGAGTCCCAGTAGACCACCTGGGTGAGGGCTTAGAGGCCGTCTTCTCCCCACCAGGAAAAACTGTGGGGAGTAGGGAGGTGGCCTCAAAACTCACCCGGCCCCATAGTTGGAAGTCCTTTAGGCCAGGCCCTGCCCCTTCACTAGGTAGCTCCTGGGGCCACCTGCCAGCCCTGCACTTGGACCCTGGGCTGTTGGTTTACCTTGTGTATGGGAAGGCAGTGGGGAGGGAGGAACACTGCTGGCAGCCAAGGCTCAGGAAGATAGGGAAAGAAGGAAGACTGAAGGCGGCTGGAGCTGGGGGCTGCAGGGTGCCATGTGACTGGTGGGGGCAGGTGCTGCCTGGCAACCAGCACTGCTCTACACTCCCCCCACCAGAGTTCATTCTACTCATTATGAGATTGGCTCATCTAGCACTGCAGGGCTTTGAAATGGCTGGAGGCATGCTTTACCCGTTCCTTTCTTAAAACTATTCTCCCTGACCTTTTCAGTACCCTCCCCAACCTCACACACTGGCATCTTCGCCAGCTCTCCTCAAATCTGAGAGAGGGACCCAGGTCTCTGGCGTCCCCACTCCCCGCTGTCTCCTGGTGTCCATGGGGGGATCTATGGGCAGAGCTCCTCTCACCCGTATTGACCATGGGGTCTGAGAACGTGGCTTGACTCCCTGATTCCCGTGAAATTGGTGGGAGCTGGTCTCCCTCTTACCACAGGCTCGTTCCCAGGACGACAGCCCTCGGGCGCTGCTGCTTCTCTGGGGCAGAAGCCAGGCGGGGTCTCCACACCTGGGAATGAGCTCCACCTGTCTTCCTGGAAGAATCCCATTGATAAACATCTTGCAGGGAGCACATATTATGCATCATTTTGAGCTATCTGGTTCCCTTTTGATGATTTTCTGTGGGGGACAAGCAGGGAATGTCAGCTTGTTCTTCCTGTTACTCACTGGACAGGTTTGGGGGGGAGCTTGCTTGTGAAAACAAGAATCTATGAGTATCACTTGCCTGCATCCTGGGCCTTGGTGGGGGTAGAGAAATGGGGCTAGGGTTTCAGAAGCCAAGCCCTCTTCTCCCTCCCCGACAGACCAGTTCCACACATTCCTGTACTTTTTGTCCTTTGGGTCCCTCTATCACAAGATCAGGCAAGGTTCTCTGAAAACAACTCTTACTGGCGGCTCCTCACACTCCTAAACAAGCCAACCTTTCCCCACAACTAGCCCTGAGCTTGCCTCCCCGCCCCACCAGACTCCAGCTCCGTGCTCCCCAAGCTCCGTCCCCAGTTCCTTTCCAGTTGGGCCAACTTCCTCCCTGCCTCTGAAATTTGTTCTCTGAGTTCCTGTCTAGAGAAATAGTACACTTCTCCCTCCTCACCTGCAGGAATAAGACAGACCCTCCAGAGATAAGACCAGGGATCACAAGTGCATCTGGAATCTCCAGCCTAAAGGGCATTCACGTGTGCACATACACACACATCCACACACCGCACTCACATGCGTAGGCACATTTTTCACTTACACACAAAAGCTGGTTTTGCAAACATTCTTGTGGCCGAGACACCGAGGCCACCAGAGTACCTTGGCCTCACTGCCTGCCCCAGATCTCTGGCATCTGGGCCACAGGGCGTTGTGGTGAGCAACACCTGCCGTTGCTTCTTCCTGCCCTCAGCTGCTCTCAGGGCTATTTATATGCTCTTAAGAAAGTGGGGGAGGCTGATTGCTTAGCTAACGCTTAGCTGAGGCCCTGGATTTGGAGTCCGTGGGTCTCAAGGCCACCTTCTGAAAGTCCCCAAAGTTGGGGTCCAGAATGCTTTGTCCTCCTGCTCCCAGGGACCTTCGCTGGCTCTCCTCCAGGCCGTCCCCCAGACCTCCTGTACCTAGCATGCCAAGTCCCCACTCTGGCCCAGCCTCTCCATAGGCACTCAGCCCCGGCCATCACTAACTTTCTGTCCTCCCCTTGTATTCCTCCCCCTTGAGCCCCAGTATGACCCGTCCTCCCTGCTCCCACTTTCCATCAGCACCCCCTTAGGCACATGACACCACAGTGGGTCCCCATTGTTGAAGGGCCCTTCCCTGACCTTCCCTTAAACTCTGGCCAGCAAATTGCCACCAGACCCAATGGCCGGCACACTGTGAGGCCAGAGGGCTAACCCCAGGCCCGCTGCTGCCCCATAGGCCAGCGTGCAGTACAACATCCCTGTGTCATCTGCCTCCCTTCCGGTCATCAAGAGCCTGGGTCTCAGGGGCGTCACCTGCATCAGCCTGACCAACCTGGATGGCTCTCCGGCTTCACTCCAGGTGCTGCGGTCTGTTACCCACCACCTGGGCCCACACCTGCAGAGCTTGTGCCTTGGTGGGGGCAGCCCCACAGAGGCCTCCTTCGTGGCTCTGATCCTGGGCTGCCCAGCCCTGCGTATCCTAGACCTCAGTGGCTGCAACAGCCTCTTCACGTCGGGCATGCTGCTGGCTCAGCCCGAGACGGCGCAGCAGGTCCAGCAGGCGCTGAGTGGCCTCCGTGAGCTCAGCCTGGCTAGCCTTCGGGACCTGGCCGACCTCAGCTTCAACCGGCTCAGCAGTTGTGCCCCCTGCCTGGAGCGCCTCTCCTTGGCCTATTGCCACCTCACCTTCCAGCTAGGCCCATCCTGGGGCTCCATTGACCCCCAGGACTCCTCCCCCTCCCAACTCTCCTTCCGTAACCTGCTGCGATTCCTGAAGGAGCGGGCTGGCAGGCTGCACACCCTGGACCTGAGCGGCACTGGCTTGCCGCCCGAGGCCCTGCGGGCACTGGGCCAGGTCGCCGGGCTGCAGCTGCAGGAACTGAGCCTGCATAGCTGCCGGGACCTCTCCACAGAGGCCGTGGCCGCCCTTTGCCACCAGCAACCAGGCCTTACCTCCCTGGACCTCAGTGGCTGCTCAGAACTGACTGATGGAGCAGTCCTGGCCGTGAGCCGGGGCCTGCGGCACCTGCGGCGCCTGAGCCTGAGGAAGCTGCAGCGGCTGACAGACGCGGGATGCTCGGCCCTGGGGGGCCTGCGGGAACTGCAGAGCCTCGACATGGCTGAGTGCTGCCTGGTGAGAGGGCGGGAGCTGGCCCAGTCCCTGGGCTCGGTGTGTGGACCTCCACCCCCACTGGCCTCCCTCAGCCTGGCCTACTGCTCCTCACTCAAGGTGAGCGTTCCACCCCCTTCCTTCCTTCCTCACCAGGGCCAGGGATTGGGGGAACTGGGAGCCTGGCACCAGGGAGGTGCCCCGTGTTTGTGTCCAAGTCAGCTGGAAGTGGAAAGGTGCCTAGGCAGACAGTGCTGCTGCCCACGCTCCTTCCTGCCGCCCCCGTGGTGGGTCCATGCAGAGGGAGGTCCCGGAGACCAGAGGGGCCCAGCCCACGAGGTGACCCACACCTCACAAGTCCGGTGCTTGGTGATCATTGCAGTCTGGGGAGGGGACTGAGGGTGGGTATTCTGGGGGCAGGGGTGACAGAACCAAGCCCTGGGGAAAGGGGCACCGAGGTTACACAGCAGTAGTTGCTCAGGAGGGGCCCTGGGGAGGCCATGTGACAAGGGAGGAAGAGAGTCACTTTTGGCTGACGCCGGTCCCTTCAGTAGGGCTCAGCCCTGTCCCTCTGGGTGGTGGTCCTGTCTTAGCAGTGTCGCTCCCTCCCTCTTTAGCAGGTTATTCCTTCAATCTACAACTGTGCCCAGAGCATTCTTCACCTGAAAAGCATTCAACGTTTCCCCCAAGTGCCTCTCTTGCCCTACTTCATCCTCACTGTGTCGATCGTGTGTCTCTTAAGCACTCTCTCTAGAGGCCCATGTTCCCATGTCTGCATCTCTACAAAGCAGCTTCTTCTGTCCTGCCCTTAGTTCTTACCCCCCATCCCCCAACCACTCCTGGCAGGTGGCAGCTCTGCTGTATGTCCTCCCAGTCCTAGAGGGAGTGTACCTGGTTGACTGGTGCTGGGACCACAGAGAGGGTGAACGCCTTAGAGATTTTCACCTACATCCTTCCCACACCAGCCAGTCTAGGTATTTGTCCTTCTCCCTGTGTTCCCCCTTCTCAGCCCATCACATCCACTGTGACACACAGCGCAGGAACACTGATGCACCCTTCCGTGGGCCCTGTGACAGTTTCCTGTTGCCTGTGGGGCTGTAACTTTGGGCAGAACCTTCCTAGGGACCCCTCCCTGCCTGAGCAGCAAGAGCTTCCTCCCACAGCCCCACCAAGAGCTGGAGCACTGGGCCTCCAGCCCCAAGGACCCCTCTTCCTAGCCACAGGGCCTGCTCATGCTCCAGGCCCCGTGGGAGCTGGACTTCACAGCCTGCCACACCTGGTGGCACAGGCAGCGGGCACCTCCCCATCACCTGCTCCCTTTTCCACTTCCCTCGTAGGATGCCTCGGTGCTCTCCCTGATCCCAGCGCTGGGCCCACGCCTCAGGGTGCTAGACTTGTCCTCCTGTGTGGCCCTCACCAACCAGACCCTGCAGGCCATCTGCACCTACCTCACCCACCTCTCAGTCCTACGCCTGGCCTGGTGCAAGGAGCTTGGTGACTGGGGGCTCCTGGGGCTGGGGGAGCCCATCAAGGCACCTTCACAGGAGCCTCAGGTGTGGGACCCTCGAAGTCATGGTGGGCTGGGGGTACCTGGGCTCAGCTGCCCTCCTTCGTCCCTGTCCGGCAACAGTTGAGGGCCAAACTCAGGAGGAACCTGAGCAGCAGGAGCTTCCTCCCGCAGCCCCACGAAGAGCTGGAGCACTGGGCCTCCAGCCCCAAGGACCTCTTTCCCCAGCCACAAGGCCCCTCCCTGCTCTTGCTGCAGACCCTGCGGGAGCTAGACCTCACAGCCTGCAGCAAGCTGACTGATGCCAGTTTGACCAAGGTGTGAGGCTGGGGGCGTGGATAGGCTGAGGACCCTGGGACTGGAGCTTTTTGCTTGGAACAAGCGTTTTTCTCATGGGCTTCTGCTGGATGTGGCATTTCCTCTGGCTGGGGGTGGGGGAAGCTGGAAGGGCTCCAGGGCCTCGTTACCCTCCCCGTCCCTACCGCATCCTTGCAGGTGCTCCGGTTCCCCCAGCTGAGGCAGCTGTCACTGAGCCTGTTGCCAGCACTCACAGACAAGGCCTTGGTGGCTGTGGCCAAGGGCTGCCCCAGCCTGGAGCGCTTGGCGCTGAGTCACTGCAGCCTCCTCAGCGACCACGGCTGGGCGCAGGCGGCCAGCTCCTGGCCGAGGTTGCAGCACCTCAACCTGTCCAGCTGCAGTCAGCTCACGGAGCAGTTGAGTGTATTGGGGGCTGCCTGCGGTAGGGGCTGGCTGGGCCTGGGCCGGGTCAGGTGCTCACCCGGCGGCTTCCCTGCAGAACTCTGGATTCCATCGGGCAGGCGTGCAGGCAGCTGCGGATGGTAGATGTGGCCATGTGCCCCGGCATCAGCATAGCCTCCGTCAGGCGCTTCCAAGCACGACTGCCTGAGGTGACCTGCATCCAGTCCCGCTTCGTGGGAGGGGCAGACCTGACCCTAACACTCTGAGGCCAGATCAGTGACCAGTGGCTCAGCCTCTGTCATCTCCAGCATCCCTGGTCCTGGCCTCTGGACCTGGAGTTTGACTCAGCTCCCTCTGCCCCTCTCTGTTACATGCCCCAGAGGGCCTTCCCCAAACTAGAAACCCCTTCACTGGGTCTGAGAGTGGGATGATACCAGGACAGCCTACCAGGCTTCTTGCCTGCCTGCCCCACAGCCCACAGGAACCTTCTCCAGCTACATGGCACTGCCACAGGCCCCCGGAAATGCCAGATCCTGCTCGCCTGTCCAGGCCTGGGTCCAGAGGCCAGGCCATTGGTGGGCTGGGTCTGATGCTGGAAAGAGTGGACCCTGGTACCTTTTGTTCCACCCACTTCTCACACTGAGGCCTGTGCCCGGCCTTGTTCCCTATAGCTCTCCCAGCCCCCCACCAGCACTGAGTTTTAGCAGCTAAGCCACAGTCTTTGTTGTATACCCAAGATTAAAAATTCCAGATCTTTCTTCCTTGTCTGAAGTTCTCAGACCAAAGGGCCCCTCCCCACCTCAGTGAAGTGGCCCAGCCCAGCCCAGGGACAATGTGTAGGAAATGCCAGAGGGACAGACAGCTTCTTTCTCACACCTGGCCCAACAGGTGCCCCGAGCAGGTCCTAGCTTCTTCCCCACATGGTGGGAGATGCCAGAGGCTTCTCCCGAGCATGAGCCCTGGCACATGTCCCACAGCAAAGCCATGTTCATGTGAAGATCCCAGGAGCATAGTGATTAAGGATGGCTGAGTCAATGGGGTTTTTCAGTACTCACACATAAGACACAAGAGAGAGCATCTCTGGGTAGGAAAGGTCATTAGAGGTCCAACCTTCTAAAACAGAAGCTCCTGGGACTAGGAGCCCAGGGGAGCAATGAGCTTAGCCTGGAAAGTCAAAGAAAGTGAAAGAAATCAAGTCAGTGAAAGAAGAGGGAGGAAAGGGGACAAACAGGCAGAAGGGACCTGGGGAGGTGCACGTGGGCAGGCCAGAGTTGGCGCTGAGTGGGGGTAGGGGGTTCCCAGCTCCCAAAGTGAGCAGGGAGGATGCCAGCTTGAATCAAGCATCAAGAGCTCTGTAAGCTACGGGCACTCTGTTGAAAGGGGTAAACCATGGCATGTCTGCATCCCAGCTCAGTTCTGTTCAGTCATGGTACCATGACCGTTATCCACAAACAGGGAGAAACAGGAGGGGGTGATGTGTGTGTGTAATCAGGTCAGTTTCCTGTTTGAGAAAGCAGTTGGAGTAGGTGGTATTGAGAAGACTGGAGGGCAAGACAGGAAGCAGGAAGTCAGGAGGTTCTTGCTAAGGTGATGGTGGCCTCAACAAGGGACTGGAGACATTGAAAAAGAACTGAAGGTATCAGGAGATGTAACTGCATCTGGGTGATACATTTTTCACCTTGAACTCAACAGGGACTATTCTAAGTGGGATGGGAAGTCTGAATACAGGAGTAGGCACGTGGGGCCCTAGATGCCCAAGTAAGAAGCATAGCTAGTGGGTGGGAAGCAAGTACTCCCCCGGAACATTCTTCAAGGGAGGTGCCATACCATCAGTTTCTAGGCAACGTGGTGATGGTTAACACTTAAAGATATTTTGAGGAGGCACTGGGAAGGAGAGGTAGTGAGAGGCATGAAGATCAGAGGGTGATGGCCAGCAGCTTCCAGCCTGTCTGTGGGTCCTGGGGGTGGGTGTGCTCCTCTCTGCCTCAGAGGCTTGGGGTCCATGACCACAGCCTCTGAGCTTCGCCTCCAGCTGGCCTATCTGTGGCTCCCACCCCACCCATGCTGCTGCAGATGAGTTTTAATCAGAACGCAGGCTTCTTGCACTGAATTCCATCTTGTCGGAATCAGCCTACATCCTCCCACTGGCCTGGCGGACACCTACAGGAACCCTGAGTTTGCCCTTCAGCACAAAGCATGCCCAACTTCATGTCTTTCCCTTCAAGTCTCTCGAAAGCAGGCCTTTGGGACCCACAGAGGACACAGGAAGGGCCAGGCAGGGTGGAGAGCTAAGCTCAAACTGTCTGGAGCCTTCTGGAAATATGGCTCCCAAACTAGGCCCCTGCTAAAATTGGGGAAATACTTCCTACCCTGCCATCTCTCCCTCATCTGGCTGGCTTCCCCAGACCTCTCTCAGCTGGCGGCCCCCAGACTACAGCCCATTCTGCTCTGCAGGGCTAGCAGAGGGTGGGCTGAAGACTCACTCTGGAGAAGGGTAACAGGGCCAGCCGGTCCTCACCCTCCTTCAGAACACCAGCCCCGTAACTGGAGTTGCCCAGGTTCATGGCCCCAAGCTGTGGCCCTGGCCTGACATCCCCTTTCACTTGCCAGCCAAGGTGGAAGGCAGGCTTAGACTATGAGGTTCAGAGCTGGCTCGACACACATCTAAGAGCCAAGCAGACTTTTATTTCTGCCGCAGCCTCTGCTGGTCAAGGTGCCTGTGCTTCCCCCCCTCCACCCTTTGTGGCCACCACGATGGCAGCAGCTGTGGCCCTTGGCCACCTTCACTGTCAAGGTTCGGCAATGCTGCAGTCGTAGCAGAAGTTGAAGTTGGTGGGGGGCGGGGGCACAGGGGGTGGCTGTTCAGGGATGGGCACATTCTCCAGCTCCAGCAGCCGCAGCTTGGTCTCCATGGTTAGCAGCTGCTCCAGGTCCAGCCGTGTCTGCTCACTCCCCATGGGATTGCCCAGCAGGGCGCTCAGCCCATCTGTCCACAGGTGGAACTGTGGATGGGGCCAGCTCCATGAGGTCCTCTCCATCTCTCCCCCTGCCCGTCTGTCCCCCTGCCCATCTGCTCAGCCTGCCCAGATACTCACCTCCCGTTTGGACGGGGCAATGAAGTTGAGGTATGCCTCCTCCTCCCCGTGGTCATAGCTGACTGAGAAAGCTAACTCACAGATGTCCTGGAGAAGCAAGGGAGCCAGGAGCACTGAGCAGGGGCCAGTGGGAAGTATCCCTGGCGCCCACTGCACTCACCTTGTTCTGCTTCCCAGAGCCCTTCTCCCGGACGTGGGGGCAGTCCTTGCCTGTCAGCAGTGCCCTGATGTCGGCCACAGGAACTGCAGGAAAAAGGCTGGGTTGACCACTGGGACCCCTGGCGGCCCGGAGTGGAGCAGCTCGGGGGAGCACAAGTGTCTGCCCACCCCCATGCCCTCCTCACGCTGCTCGGGCAGGCTCTCGGGGGTCGGTGGGCCTACTCCCTCCTCCACGTCCCCATACTGCAGCACTTTGTGGTTGGGGGACAGGCAGCAGAACCACAGCTTGTCTGTGGGTGGAAAGGGGGAGGGGGAGCAATGAGAGGGCCTCCCCAACCCTTCCCAGCCGCCCTCCAGCCCCACCACCGCCCACACAGTGACCCTGGCGCCGCCGGCTGCTGATCTTGTGGAAGAGCGTCCCCTCGCAGAGGCGGAGCAGACGCTGCTGGCGGATCAGGCCCAGGAGCTCCGGCTTCAGCTTCTCCCGAAGCTCCCTGGGTGCAGGGGAGGGGGCTCACTAAGCCGCCGGACGGCCGGGCCTGGGCGAGGCAGCAGGGCAGGTGGGGGCCAGGCCTGGGACCCACCCCCATGACTCACAGAATCGGGGGGGCCAGCGTGCCTTCCTGGTGCAGCCTCTCAGTCTGCCGCAGCCGCAGCACCTCCCCGTAGGTGAGTGCATTCACCTTTGTTCGGAAGAGCTCCAGAGAGCTGGGCTTCAGGGCCAGCGTGCGGGCCAGCTGCTCCCGCACCACTTGCATGACCTGGGGCCATCCCAAGCTGAGCTCAGGGCTTGAGTTCCAGGCCCCAACCCCAGAACCACCTCTGCCCTGGCCCGGGTCTCCCCACTGCTGCCCTCCGCACCTTGTCGAAGTCCTCCTGAGTGGCCCGCATCTCCTTCCAGGTCTTATTCAGCAGCTGGATGCTCACACAGAAGAGCTCATGGAAGCTCTGGTCTTGGCCAAAGAACATGGGTGAAAAGTCCTGGGCTGTTTCGGAACCTGGAGTGGGGGGGCAGGAGGGGCTCAGGGAGATAGTGTGTGCTGCCCCTGGCCCTCTCTGCCCTTCCGTCCCCCGTTCCTGAACACGCTGTGCCCAGCGCCACTCACAGGGCTCCCCGACATGGAGCAGATCACACAGCAGCACGGTCAGCTGGATGCTGCTCCGTGCAAAGGGGCACTCGTGCTTGTCCTCACGGCTGCTGTTCTCTAGCACAAACTGAGGAGGCGGGAGCACAGGATGGGCTGGGGAGTCATGACTAAGCCCCAGGAAGCCCCACCTAGGCGCCCTGTACCCCATTCATTCATACCCCACCCCGCCCCACCACTGACCCGGCTGTAGGCGCTGGGTGCCTGTCTGGAGAAGTAGAGCATGTTGTCCAGGGCCAGCAGGCCAGGGGGCACGCGCTCCAAGTCCTGTGCGGGGTTGCTGTTCTGGGGGGAAGGGGAGAGACAGCTGAGGAAGGTCCCAGCCCTCTGGAGCAGTAGCATTAGCCCTGGGTGGGGGCAGGGGGCAGGGGGCTGGGAAGGGGTCACTCACAGAGAAGCCCAGTTTGCGGAACTCTCGGGCACACAGGGAACGGCGACGGTCAGCGCTCAGCCCGGTGCCCACGGGCTCCCCCTCCGGCTCAAAGGCAGCTTGGCGCAGGGCCTGCAGCTGCTCCCGCTGCTCCTGGGGTCATTGTTGGGAGTGGTGGCAAAATTGAAGATTCAAGGCCAAACTTGGGCCAGCCCCAGCCTTCTGCACGCTCAAGGCACCTACCTGACTGTAGGGGTCCAGTGGTGTCCGCATGCGTGGCTCCAGCAGCCCCAGCATCAGGGCCTGCAGTACGTACAGGTGGTGAGCCATCTCGTCGCCCAGTGGCGCTGCACTGTGGATGATGTTCTGAAGGACAGCCAGTCCACGGCTGTGAGTGTGGGCTTGCAAGGAGAGGAGTGGGGAGGGGTCTGTCAGGTCTGGTCCTTCCTACCTTGTAGATGAACTGGCGAAGGTTTCTCTGCCACAGGTAGTCGAGCATGTGCTGGTGGGTGGGAAGGGGGCTTGAGTGATTTAGCCCCACCACGAGCGCCCATCTTTTTGGCCCACTGCTGAGTACAGCACCCACCAGCTCCTGCACACCCAATCCAGTCACTGGATGGATGCCCACCTTACGTTCTGCAGGGGTGGCCCCCTGTAGCAAAGCTGTCAGCAGAGCCATGGCCTTGGTTTGCAGCTGCTGGTTCATCCTGGGTCAAAAAGAGGGCTCAGCCGGCCATCCAGGGCCCAGTCCTGCTGTCCTCCCTGGTCCCCCACCTTCAGACACTTACACCTGTAGGTGCACCAGCAGCCTGTCTAGTGGCACCTCGCTCTTGACCAGCTGGCCCAGGGTAGGGCTGCTCAAGGTCACGTTCTCCAGCAAGCCCAGGGCCAAGGGCTGCACAGAGGCATCCATCAGGTTCATGTTCACGTAGCACACCACCTTTGGCAGAGCAGAGGTTGTCACCACCTCATCACCGTGGAAGGCCAGGCCCTGACACCTCTCCACCACCCCCACCTGTTTCCCCGAGAAAAGCCCACCCACCTTCCTAACAAAGGGGATGCTGAGTGTCTCCCAGGACACCACGCCGTGCTCCATAAGCTCCAAGAAGGCCCTCAGTGCGAGGGCCAGCACCTCTCCTAGGCTGGAGGGACATGGGAGGCTGAGCAGAGCAAGACCAGGATCCGCGGTCCCACTGTGTCCCCCGCCCACCACAGCCCTGGGCTCACTCGTCCCCATCCTCAATGATGGTGCCCAGTCTCTGAAGCCCATCACGGCTGATGACCTCCCGGGCGAAGGTCAGGTCCGGGGCCAGCAGGAGGAGGTGCCGCAGGGCTTCCCGGTGCCCTTCACGACTTTCGCTCTGCAGCCCCCGCAACAGCCGCTCCGCCTCGCGGTCCTGGCGGGGTAGGAGCAAGGGCAGAGCACAGGTGAGGAGGTAAGGAGAGAGAACTGGGGTGTGGGGACGCGGGTGTACACTAGGTGGGGCACTTCTGGGCTGGAGCTGGGACTGGGCCCCCAGTCTCCAGGTGCAAAAAAGAGGCACAGCAGAGGGGCAGGGAAGGAGGGCGGGGTCGGAGGGGCATTACTGGGGCCGTGCTGAGGCACAGGATGCTGCCATTCTTGATCTCCATGCGGTTCTGGAAAAGATGGCAGAGAACGGAAAGAAGTCAAGAAGGGCCCTGAGGACTGGCTAGTTGGGGCTGTCAAGAAGGGAGGATTTGGGAGTCAGTAAAAGATCAGGTTGCAGAGAGTGGGACGATGAATGCGAGTCGAAGCCAGAGTTAGAAGGGATCACAGGGTGGAATGCGAGGCGGAGGGGAGGGGACTCACGTTCTCGGTGATGTATCTCCGGTGCCCATCCGCAAACTGCAGGGCATAGCGCTCAGAGTGAGGCAAACTCCACCTGCAGGCAGCAGAGGCTCCATGAGGCAGGCAGGGGGCGCCCTCCCCCTCCTGCCCGGCCCCATCCCCTACTCGCCCGCGCGACCCGCACTCACACGTCGCACACCTCCTTCAGTACAGCAGCCAGGGGTTTTGCCTACAAGTGGAAGAGTCAACTCACGGGATGGGAGTGGGAACAGGTTGCGGAGGAGCCTGGGGAGGGGCGGGGTGGGCCATTCGAGGGGAAGGGGGCGACCCGGAGGTAGGTGGTGGGTTGGATGGAGGCCAGCCAGGCCTGGTGACCTGGTCCAGCTGGATGAGCTGCGGGATGGCGTCACGCATCTGGACGGCGATCTTCACCACATTCCGCGGGGGCGCCATGGTCTAGCCGTGGGGGCCTTATACTTTCCAGGTGTGCCACCTCCGCTGAGAGCACACCTGGCCTGGGGCCCCTGAGAACGAAGGCGTTCCTCAGTCCGAGGCTTGGCTCCCGTGGCTCAGGCTCCCACTCGCGACAAGGTGCCGCGGCCTTCCCTAGGGAGCCGGATCCAAGGCCAGTTCCGGGTTGGAGTCCGGAGGATAGGAGAGCGCCTGCCCCGCCCCGCCCCACCAAGGAGGCCCCGCCCCGCCCCAAGGTGCGGCAGGTGGGGGTGTGGAGGGCGGGCTGTCAGCACAGCCACACCTCCTTTTCCAAGAGTTGACCCGCCCAGTTCCACCACCAACCCAGCACAATCCCAGGGAAGGGCCCTGAAAGAACCAGATCAAAGATAGCCTTAGGCACGATCTTTATTTACTTGGATACTGTACAAATATTACAATTTCCTTTTGTTGCAAAAAGTATAAAAATAATCTTTATATAGGAATCCACCCGTTACTGCAAATCTTTCTAAATCTCTGCAAATGGCTCTAAATGAGGGTAAATGAATAAACAAGAGGGGGGCTATGGGGCAGAGGGAGGCTGGGCCAATCCTTAGGGACTCAGCAGCCCAGATTCTTAGCTAGAAATCTCCATTCCTTCCTGTTAGCACCCCCATGTCAACAGGTCCTCAGGGCCAAGGGCCCAGCAGAAGAGGGGGCACATGAGAAGTCCAGGAGGAGGTGTGTGATCATCCCCACCCCAGACTTCCTCCTGCAAGGGGGAAGGCCTGGCAGGTACAGGGCAATGGGAATGGACAAGTGGCCCTGTGAGGGTGATGGAGGGTCCTTGGTTCTGCGCCACTGGGTGGCAGCTGAACCTGAACTCTGGGAGGGCTCGAGGAGGATACCAGGTAGGGTAAGGCCACCCAAAAGGAGAGGCAAACACTTTGGCTCCATGGTGGAGGGGGCTATGCTCCTTTCCCCAGCTCTCCCAGCACAGAACAGGTGGACTTGCAGGAGCAGGACTTGGGGCCAGAACTGTGCAGTGAGGGAAGGCTGGGGAAGCCAGAAGTCTGCGGCTCTTAAGCTGTGGGGGAGTGGGGATAGGTCTCCAGGCAGCCCCCAGGTCAGACAGTCTGTGTCCCAGCCACAAAGGGCATGCTCCTGTCAGTCAGAGGTTGAGAACAGGCACATCAAAGAGGTCACAGACACCTTCACTTTCGTCCAGGTTGTAGATGTAATCATGGTCTCCAGGGGGCGGAGAAAGGCGGAGGAGGGGTGCAAACACTGCAGAGAACAACAAGCTGAGGCTCCACCCACGGCCACCCAAACTCTACCCACATACACTTCACCCCCAACCTTGCTGGGCCACCTACCTTCTGAGGACATCAGCTCCTCCAAGAGCTCTGAACTCATGCATTCTGGGGACAGAGGGAGAGCTCAGTTACATCCTGGCTCCCCCCTCTCCACCCACCAAAGTTCATGAAGGGGACCACTGAGCCACCCACCAGGAAATCTGACCCTTTGAACAGATAACAGGCACAACCATAAGGTCCTCAGAAGGGCAAGAAAACAGCTCTAAGACCCAATGAGCTGTGCCCCTTACCCCAGCCCCAGGGAGGAACACAGCCCTACCTCGAGTGGGATCAAAGATTTCTGACAGCTCTTTGGGGAGCTCCAAAACTGAAAGACAAGAAAACCATGATCAAGGGCACAGAGGTCCATCACAGTTCCACTCTAGCCCTTGCTTCTCCAGATCCTATGCCACCTACCCAGGGGGTGCCATACAGCTGAGATGTAGGCCCCACACCAGGCCAAGCTGGCACTGTCAGTAGAGGTGGTGGCAGTGATCCTGAGTGTTAGGATACATGAGGCCATCCATGGGGAATATCTGGGAGAGAATTCATTTAGCTGATATGGGGTGGGGAGCAGGAGGAGAGAGCTTCAGTGACACCAGGGTGTCAGATCTGAATTACTCTGTGCCAGAGGCCCACTGTTTAGTTATTGGTATGGTGCTTCTAGCTCAGCGGTTCAGCAGAAGGACAACACACTCCCCTTTTATCTCTAGGTTCAGAGCGCATACCCTGTCTGATGGAGGATGCCTGTCTGACGGAGGATGCCCTGCGTGATGAAAGGATGTCCTGTCCATCCCTGCCCTAGCTAAGCACCTACTTGTGCCAGGCTGAGACCACACCCCCCAAGTCACTTGGCAGAGAAGGAGGCACTCTTAAATAGGGAATAGTGCTACAGGGTGACGACGCTGCTACAAAGGTCTAACCAGGACAAACGTGGGAAACAGGGAAGAAGTGTTGGAGCCTGGTCAGCAGGGATTTCATATACCAGGTTTAGGGGCTCTGGTTTTATCCAGTATACCTTAGGGAGCTGTTAAAAGAATTTTTGTAAATAGAGAAAAGCCAGTCAGGGTGTTTCAGAATCAGTCAGGATAAAGACGACAATGTTGAAGAACTTAGGACAGAGGTGGTGGCAGTGATCCTGAGTGTTAGGATACATGAGGCCATCCATGGGGAACATCTGGGAGAGAATTCATTTAGCTGATATGGGGTGGGGAGCAGGAGAAGGAGAGAGCTTGAGTGACACCAGGGTGTCAGCTCTCGGTAACTAGGGCCAATGGTCGGGTACGCACAGACATGGAAAAACAAGTTTCAGTTGAGGAGATTTAGAAATGAAGTGCCCATTGGATGTGCAGAAGGCACTTGGACACAAGAGGTAAGGTTCAGGCAAAAGACCTAGGAAAGATGAAGGGTGGGATTCACCTACCCAGAACTGGGACCCTCCACAAGTGTGCCATGGGCCAGAGATCTGGGAAGCCAGATGTAAAAAAATGCCAAGGAGAGGTCAGAAGGAGAAATCAATTAACAGAGAAGAGCCAAAAGCTGGCATTATGGATGATAAAGAGGGAACAGAGCATCAACACAAAGCAAGAGAGGACCAGAGCAAATCACCGAGAAACTCGCTGAAGCTGGCTGGGCAGGGCTGGGTGATCGATCAAGAGCAACACTAGTATGGAATGGGGTAGAGGAGCTAGGGCTGGGGTCCTGACTGCTGCAATCTGAAGCTTGACCAGGGGACCAGAATATGGAATAGAATGGAGATGACTTTTTCAAGGAGTCTAAACACAGAGTAGGAAGGTGAGAGAGGGGGATACAAGGGATGAAATGTCATTTAATGAAAGACTTAGCAGTGCTTGAGGGCTGAGAGAATGAGTCCTGGAAAAAGCAAACACTCAAGTCACAGGATGACGAGGAGACAGCAGCAGATGACACTGTCTCTCCTAAGACACTGCCCCACTTTGGAGCCTCAGGGCCATACCACAGCCCATTCCCTAGGAGAGCGCTCATGCTTTCCTGAGACCTGAGTCCAAGGGGTGGTAGGCAAGGCTTGAGGGAGGACCAGGAAAGGGGGCAAAGGGGCACCAGCACCAAGCCAGAGGCCAGGCTCCTCGCCTTGGCTGGCAGAGCTCTAGCTGATGGCAGGGGGCTGGCCAGTTTTGACAGAGGAGATAGGAGAGTTCGGTTCCAGGCCTGATTCTATTGAACTAGGTCTTTCTGAGGCTGGGTTCTCCCTGCCCCCAAGGGTACAAGTACTCACCACCTGTGGGGTCTGCCTTGATGGGCTCAAAGGAGGTAGAAGGGTTGGGTCCAGATGAACTGCTGTTGCTGCTGCTGCTGCTGCTATCCAACAGGGCAGAGGACTGCAGTGGCCGGGTGTCCAGAGCTGCCAGGCCCAGCGGGAGGGAGCTGAGTTCACCACTGTCCTTGCTCTCGGTTCCATGGCCTCCACTCACTGCAACCACATCCCCCAAACCTGGTCACTCAGGGACAGGAAGCAGGATATTGAAGCTGGCCATGGTAGAATCCACAGCCAGGATGACTGCGGCCCTGGTTCCTCGGCCCAAGGAGACTTAGGCATGCTCACCACTCTCAGAAAGGTAATGTGAAAATTAGTCACTGAAGGAGATGGGGCATGAAGCCCATAGGAGGGAGACTCGCGGATATGACTGCTGCAACCACACTTCAAGAGGGGTGCCAGGGCAAGTGAGACACAGGCAGACCTGGTAGAAAACTGCCACCACTAATGCCCCTTCACAAAGTCAGAATGTCCCTGTTAAAAAGGGCTCATTGGGTGCACCAGCAGAGAGAGGCCAGTGGGTGGGGGTGGGTGGGTAAGATAACCCCTACAGGGTCTCTCCAACGCTGAGTATTTCATCTCGTTACACAGAAATATTGCTTCTTGGGTCCCTGAAGTCCCTCATTACCACATACCCCTTGTGCCTCACCTGGGATCTCAGCTGCTGGACCAGCCACCCCCTGGGCCTCGGTGCTACTGGGGACAGGGTTGGGGGTGGTCGCCTGGGGACTACTCGGGCGTGAGGCATCCTGGGGCTGGGCCAGGGCAGGCTTGGGCAGAAGCGGAGGGGTAGAGACAGCAGGCGGGCTCTGGAGCAGGTCTTCGGGTGGTGGCACAGGCACCGCCACGGGCGGTGAGCTCCATGCCTCCTTGTTCACCAGAAGCACCTCAATGGGGCCGCTTACGCTCTTCAGGTGAATCTGGTACTTCTTCTGCCCATTGAGGCCCTGGAGGTAGGGGTGGAGGACAGGTGGAATTGGAAGCAGGTTTGGCTCCTGCCTGACCCTGGGCCAGGGCCAGTGTCCTCTCCCACCCTGGGCTGCCCATTCTCCTAGATAACTTCAAACCCTAGGCCTCCCCTTACCTGCCCCACCCGGGACTTATCGGGCTCCACAGCCAGCACCCGCCCTCAATCCACCCCACCCGGCTGAGCTGAGCACCCACCTCTGGGATGGGCACCTCCAGGCTGGTGCCCGACGGGGCCCGGATGGCAAGGAGGGTATCTCCTAGGATGACAAAGAGGATGGATCAAGGCCCATGGGCTCAATTTGAACTGGGAATGGGGTGCCTATCCCTCAGAGCAAGGAAGGAGGTCATAGTCCCAGAGGGGCCCGACAGTAGGCTTCACTCACTCTCTATCGAGGCTGGGGGAGAGAACTAAAGCTTTTCTCCTCCTAAGAACCCAGAGGTCAGTAACCAGAAAATCTGGGTTCAGACACGTGGAGCAAAAGATTAGTGGCCATGGGCACCTCACTCGATTGATGGGGCTGCTCCCTAGGCAAAGATATTCTGGTTAAGGCCAACAGCTCTTCCCGAGAACCAGCCTGGGAAATGCAAGATGGACAAGGAAGAGTTCCTGTACCTACAGTGCAACTAAACTACAGGTTGGAAGTGGGCACCACTGCCCGTGCACACAAGCATACACAAACAGGCACACACACTTTCTCTCTGCGTATGCTTCTGTCACACCTGAGAAGCCAAACCTAGGGGGCAATGCAGGTGGGGGCTGACAGAGGGACCCAGTCCAGGCTTCCTGTACCCTCAGCATGGTTAGCCTCCACAGGGTCCCAGAGACCCTCAAATCCAGGACTTACCCTGTCTGGTTCTTCTTTGAGTAGGACCCAGGAACCCTCTTAAGAGATGGAAATCTCTCAAGCACCAAGTCCACTGCTCAGGGCTGTGGCTCAGCCCAGTCCCACCCCCATCTCCCCCTACCCAGGCTCTGCTCACCAGCAAAGCATCTGCAGATGTCCTCATGAGTCACGTAGGCCAAGGTGTGGGGGTTAAGGAGAACGGCTGATGCCCTGCCTATGGTGACAGATGACTGACCATAGCGAAGACCCAGCTTTGCAGCAAAGGACTGACATACATGCTCACAAAGAAAAGCCCTGAGGCCTGGGGTCTACATGGGGGAGGGATCACAGACCAAGACTGTGCGGGGAGAGGCTCTGAGGAGGGAACCCGAGGCTGAAACCTGGCCAGGAGCCGGACGACCATCCTCCCAAGCGGGACAAGGACTAGGGGGCCACAGAGCAAACCCAGCTGGACTAGAGGGCCCATCGCCCACTCCCCAGGAGCCAGGACCGCCGACAGGAGGATATCAGCTGTTCTGCACGTCCTCTGTGACGTTCCGGATGCTCTGCTGCACCCACACCTTGTGCTGGTCTAGTTCTTGCTCCCGCTGCTGCAGCTCCTCGATCTCTGCCTTGAGCTCAATTAGCTTGTCTGCAATCTCCCGGGTGTTGCAGCCAGGCCCCACACCCCTAAGTCCAGGAAGGAGAGCTGAGAGGGGCTGCCTGGCACTCTGGGTCCCACAGCCCCTATCCTCTCTGCCACCCTCCACCCTCCACCCCTGACACTTCTGGGCAGTAGATCCCATTGCCCTCCCCGGTGCCCCCACTCACTTCCACTGGATGCTATTCTTGGATTTTTTCTCGATCAGCCCGATACCTTCCAGCACGTTAGTAATGTCATATATCCGCCGCTTCTGGCGCACAGCTAGGGTGTCAGCTGCCTGGCAGAGAAAAGAGAATGGAGAATGCTCAGTCCCACTCTTGGGGGGGACTCGGTCTGGAGCAGTCTGAAAAGGGGGTGGCCTGAATTCGAGCCCTCCTCCCCAGACACTACAGCAGCTCAGGACTGTGGGGTGGGAAGAGGCCTGACGAAGCCTGAGCTTATGTTCCGATTCTCTTCTACGCACACTTGCTGGGGAGGGCCACGAGGACTAGCACCCGCAGCCCCAAGCCTGGCACAAAGCTGACATCCGATGAACAGCCTCAGCCGAATGAATGAAACAGCTCCCGGCCTCCCGCTTGTGAGAAGCACATGTATGGCGGCCTGCTCTGAGGGCTCAGCTGGGCCGCCCCGGGGGTTCCCTCTACCGGCTCAGGCCTGATTCACCATACCCCCTGTCGCCCCTTAGCCCAGGCCGCACCAGCTTGAGGTCAAGCACGCCGTCCTTGGCTTCCTGCAGAAGCGACACGAACTTGGTAGTGAGAAGTCCCAAGCTTTTCTCGTGCCGGCTTGGGGTGCCTGGGGGCGGCGGCGCCTGTGGCCCAGCCTCCGCCATCGCGCCCGCCCGCCGCCTCCCCTCAGCCAGGCCAGGCCAGGCCGGCGCCGCCGCCACTTCCGCTTCCGTTCCTGGCCTCCCGGCCGCCGGCGCCAGCCTCGCTACTTCCGCTTCCGCTTCGTTCCCTTCCAGGGAGTCCATCACAATTCCTCTCAGCGGACATGGCCGAAAAACTTCAGGGACCATCGACAAATGTCCAACCGCCGAAGAGGACGAAAATAACCCCAGGATCCCGGAAGACAGGTGTGGTCGAGGAAGCATGTGGCGGAAGTCGTTGGGTAGCCCCAGGAATAGTAAGGAGGAATCACTGGAACCTTCCTGGCTGGCAACGTGCCCCAACTCCACTAACTGTGCCCCAACCCTCATCTCAGGAGAGGAGACCCTGCTGCCTGATGAACCCAATGTGTTTTCCCAAACCTGCTCCTAAAAGACTGCCCCACTGTCTTAGGATCACCTACCCTATTCCTGTCCTTCACTTCCTGCCAAACAGCAAGCACTAACTACATCTAGCTTATCCACCTGTCTGCATCCCCACTCTCTCCCCCTGATCCCAGCCTCACCTTTCTCTGTCTCCACACTACAGTGCTCAGAGGCCATGGGATTAAAACCACTTTTCAACCAATGTAAACATATTTACCTGTGTGTCAATATTTATAAAGCCCTTAGACAGTTTCTGGCATGTGGAAGGATTATGTGTTTGCTAGTATCATTTTGTTATTTTTAACACTGTCATTTATTGTGGTTTATTTTAGGTCAAGTTCTTTGGAAAACAGTCTTTGAGAAAGAGATGTGCCGGCAGGAAGTTTACTGAGAAGCCACACTTGTAAGGAAGTAAGTCAGGCCAAACAGGGCAGAGAGGAGAATTAAACTGAGAAGGTTAAAATGGAGGCCTCTGTCCTCCTAGGAGCACTGAAAGTGGGGTACCCCTTCCAAGGCCTATCTGGCCTTTATATCCTAACACTGACCAAGAGACTCAGATCTGAGACCTCATTGGCCTACATTTCAGGCAGCTAGGGGAATGAGTGTCTTTGTCTGGAAAGGTGGATTTGGATGGTAGCCAGTGTCCACTGCATTATTACTACCTACTAGTCAGTTCCATTGGAGGAGGGCATGGCAACCCACCCCAGTATTCTTGCCTAGAGAATCCCACGGACAGAGGAGCCTGGTGGGCTACAGTCCATAGAGTCACACAGAGACACGACTGAAGCAACTAAGCAGGAGCAGCATCCCCTTCCATGGCTCCTCTTATCTCCAAGACAAACAAGCTTTCATAGCCCTTCCATCCCTCTCTGCCATCTCCTGCCACACACTCTCTTCACAATAGCCTATGGTCTCTTGCTCCTCTGCAGAGGCACACCTGCCTCTAAGGGCCTGTCAACACAGTTTTCACACTGTGATGTCTGCATCCATATCAGCACACCTTCCTCTCCACCCACGTTGGGGCCATCTAGTTCTCGTCTGTGCTCTGAGCATAGGAGGTCCTGCCTAGGCTGCTCCAGACTCATTGATCACAGGGAGGACACCCCCCTTCCCCCAAGGAAGTGGTGCCCAGCCCTCCCCACTCTGTCCCACGGTGCAGATGCTCTTTCCTGTTGGGAATAAAGTACCAGAGACTCAGCTTCCTTCCTTTCTGCATGTGGCCTTGGAGAGGGCGGGGCCTGGAGGGAGGAGGGTGCTCCTGAGGAGGGAGGTGGGTCAGAGGCTTCCTTGGGGTGAGGAATTCTGCTGTGGCAGGCTGAGGTGTGGGCCTCGTGAGCCAGTGGAAGGAGTATCCAACTCTGCTGAGACAGCCGGGGGAGAGGGCCATCCTCAAGGCCAAGGCTCTCTGTGGAGGAGGGAGCACTGGACGCCTGGTCAAGCCTGGTGAGCTCCATATCACACTGTCCTCTGCAGCTCAGAGCAGGAGTGCTGCCCCGCTGAGGCCCCTGGCTACCCTGCCTCACTTACATCTGGGGGGCAAAACCGGAAAACCTCATCGACAAAGGCATCTCAGGTGCCTCCCCGTCTCTCCCACCTCCCTCATTTCCTGAGGGAGCTGGAACCTTCTCCTTCTCAGAGGGGCCTAGATGAACACAGTAGCTCAGAGGAGCGCCCACTCTGCCTGCTCTAACCTGGACCTTTGCCCTCATTCCCACCTCTGCTCCAGCTCCTCCAGCCATGGACTCGGCAGCCAGGGACAAAATGCAGCCCGCACTCCCCACTGGTATGAGCCCTTCTGGGTGGGCCGAGAGAGGGATGGTGGGAAGAAAGATGGGATGGTGGGTTGGGGTCTGACTGGAGCTCTGTAGGGCGGGGAGAGGAGTGGACCGCCCTGGGGGACAGGCCGAGGGGTAGTAAGAGGAGCAGACTCGGCAGCCGCTTCCTGCAGGCCTAGCCCAGTTGACGCAGCTGCCCAGGCTCTTCCTGCCCAGGGCCGGAGTGGCCGGAGCAGGAGCGGGCGGAGCAGCTGGCCCGGGGTGCAGCACTCAAGTGGGCCTCAGGCATCTTCTACCGGCCAGAGCAGCTGGCCAGGCTGGGCCAGTACCGGAGCCGTGAGGTGCAGCGGACCTGTTCTCTGGAAGCACGCATCAAGGTGGGCATCGGGCAGGAGGCACAAGTGCTGGGGGCAAGCTGCAGGGCTGGCAAGGCCTCACTGCCTGCCTCCCTCCCACAGTCAGTGGTGCAGTCATACCTGGAGGGTGTGAAGACCGGGGTGTGGCAGCTGGCCCAGGCCCTTGAGGCTGTGCGGGGAACCCGAGAGGCCCTGGGCCAGGCCCGTGAGCTGCTCCGGGATATGGCTGAGGCTGTGCAGACTCTAGAACCCCTGCGGGAGCAGGTTGTACAGCACAAACAACTGCAGGCCTTGTCTCAGCTGCTGCCCCGGCTTCGAGCTGGTGAGTGTGCCTGGCCCTCGGCCTCAGCCCTCTGCCAGCCAGTTGACAAGCACCGTCGCTGATCAAGGGGCTGGGATGCCAGTGGGAAATTGCATGGAGGGACACATCGGGGACCTCCCAGGGAGTAATATAGGCTTCAGATGACATATGAAGTAGGGTGCCTGTTAGTTCATTCTGGGGTTCCCAGGCGTGTGAGGGCTTCCCTGGTAGCTTAGCTGGTAAAGAATTCACTTGGAATGCAGGAGTCCATGGTTTTAGTCCTGGGTCTGGGTCGGGAAGATCCCCTGGAAAAGGGATAGGCTACCCACTCCAGTACCCTTGGGCTTCCCAGGCGGCTCAGTAGTAAAGAATCCACCTGCAACAAGGGAGACCTGGGTTCAATCCCTGGGTTGGGAAGATCCCCTGGAGGAGGGCATGGCAACTCACTTCAGTATTCTTGCCTGGAGCATCCCATTGGACAGAGGAGCCTGGTGGGTTACGGTCCATGGGGCTGCAAAGAGTCGGACACCACTGAGCAACTAAACACAGCACAAGCATGGGATGTCTGAGTCAGGACTGACACCTGTGGCTCTGCCCCACTTGGCTGTTACATACTGGACGAGTTCCCTAACAGGGTGGACGAATAGCCACTGGCATGACCCCCTCCCCCAAGTTCCTCCCTTCCTCCTGTTTCATCAGCTCAAGGGTTTACACCCTAACCACCATGTAGGCCCTTCCCTGGGGCTTTTCAGACTGCCCAGTGCTCTACTGTACTGACTATTAAATCTTTTACACCACACCCCAGCCCCAGGGCGTCGAAATCCACTGCTGTACCCACTGCACAGGTGGAAATGGTTTAGACTTAAGGCTGTCTCTTCTCTCTGATTAGTGCCAGCTGCAGTGGCCCACACACAGACCCTGATTGATGCCCAGCGGTTCTTGGAGGCCTATGTGAGCCTCCGGGAACTGGAGCAGCTGCAAGAAGAGACGTGCGCACATCTTGGGGGCCTGGAGTTGCCAGTCTTCGAGGGACTGGGCCCTCTGGCTGAGGCTCTGGGCCAGGCTGTGGAGGCGGCTGCAGGGGCGGCAGGGCAGCTGGCCCGGGAGGACCCAGCCTTGCTGGTGGCTGCCGTGCGTGTGGCCGAGGTGGATGCTGGGCGCACCACCTCCTTGGAGCAAGCTCCACGGGACTGGCGACAGCGCTGTCTGCATGCACTACAGCAGGGCTTGGAGCGGGTCCACTTCGGGACATCTCTGCAGCCTGGGCCTGGGGCATTAGCAGAGTGGCTGGAGGCTCTTCGGGTGGCTCTTCCAGCCGAGTTGGCCATGGCTGAGGCTCTGGTAGCACCCTGCTGCCCACCACACTACAAAGTTGTCCAGTTGTGGGCCCACACCCTTCATGGTGGCCTGCGGCGCTGCCTGCAGCAACTCCTGGAAGGGCCTGAGCTGGAAGCTGCCGACACCTTTACCCTGCTGCACTGGGCGCTGCATGTCTACCAGGGGTCAGTCTCTGGGGCAGTAGGGCGTGGGGGCATCAAAGCCTGGGGGCTCTCTGTAACACTGGGCCACCCACCTCCAGGCCAGAGATGATGGGGAGCCTGGAGTTGGGGCCTGAGGCTGACGTGTCTGATCTGGAGCCCCTCCTGACCCTGGAAAACATCGAGCAGTTGGAGGCAACATTTGTGGCCAAAGTCCAGGTGAGTAGTTGGAGCCCAGGTTCAGAGCAGTTCTGCCGCCACCTGTGGGCCTGTATCTGTGGAGTCGCGCATCTACCTGTCTCTAGCAGTGTCAGTGCCCTGCTACATCCTGCTGCACCTTGCCCCCTTTCCCCAGGCAAATGTGGCCCAGTGGCTGCAGAAGGCACTGGATGGGGAGGTAGTTGAGTGGGGCCGAGAGCAGGAACCTGACACAGACCTGTCTGGCTTCTACCACTCACCATTGCCAGCCATCGTGCTGCAGGTGGGTGAAAAGTGGTGAAGCCTGGGGGCAGCCCTCACAGGGAAAGGGAAGGAGGGCAGGACCAGGACTCCGCTGATGGCTGTCCATCCCTACCTGTAGATCCTGGAAGAGAACATTCGTGTGACCAGAATGGTCAGCGTGTCACTGCAGCGGCGGGTGCATGGCATGGCACTGTCAGAACTGAGTGCC